AAGACCCGGGAGCATATAAACCGGGTCCGCACAGGGACCGGGGTTCAGCGTTACTGTCGTCATCTGAAGATCTACGATCTACACTCTACGGGGAGGGTTTCCACACAACTATTATTGTTATTATTTTGATTCTTTTTTCTATCTACGTGGCTTTACCGAAAGACCCAAAGAATATGAATTCCTGCAGTTACGAAAGCTTTAAGTCAAGATTTAATCGCCTCTATGGGGAGGGTTTCCACACTATTAGATTCATCTTTTTGGTTCTTTCAGTAAAGTCACGTAGAAGGAAAATAATAAAATAATAAAAATAAAACATATTTGTATTATTTTCCTTCTACGTGGCTTTACCGAAAGAACCAAGAAGATGAATTCCTGCAGTCACGAAAGCTTTAAATCGAAAACTATTAGATTGTTATTCTTTTGATAATTTTTTTTCTATCTACGTGGCTTTACCGAAAGACCCAAATAATATGAATTCCTGCAGTCACGAAAGCTTTAAGTCAAGATTTAACCGCCTCTACGGGGAGGGTTTCCACACAAATATTAGATTGTTATTTTGATAATTTTTTCTATTTACGTGGCTTTACTGAGAGACCCAAAGAATATGAATTCCTGCAGTCACTATCTACGTTCTACATCCAAGAAGAAGTCACCAACACGTGAACGAGGACCCAAGTCCGTTGTAGCTACTCCCAGTAACTAGCGTAGTTAGCCGGGTGGTCCACCACCATAGGTTATCTAGTAAAGGGGCAGTAACCAAAGAGTATAGGGCAGTAACCGCTTTGTGTTAATAGGTTGGTGTTAATAAATGTGTTGCCTCCAAAAAGTATGTCTGTGACACAGCTGAATCCACTACATATATATACACACACGATCTAAAACCACTAAACATTTTTTTTATTTTACCAGGTAAGGCACACTGAGCTAATTAGCTCTTTTTCAGAAGCGACCTGGCCGTCTTGTGGAAATATATAGCAGCAAAAACTGATGTTGATTATAAATGTGGAGGGAAAAACCGGAGGACCCGGAGAAAAATCGACACGACAACGGGGAGAGAGACATGCAAACTTCAAATATACAGCAGGCGTCAGGGTCGAGAGCGAACCCACGACCTCCTGTATACCAGACGATGCAGTTAACATCCGTCAAAACGTAAACCCACATGACACACACAGAGGGGGGATGACTGCTGATGGGACACTGGATGTCCAAAGTTTGCTTGTGTTGAACCGATACTTCTGAAAGTATGCACTCCCAAAGGCCGTGCGACGTATAGGATATGTAAAGCATAGACTTAAAACTTTCATGACTGCAGGAATTCATATTCTTGGTTCTTTCAGTAAAGTCACTGATGAAGACCGCTTGTGTTGCGATCGAAACGTCGTGGGTTTTTTTCATTTATTTTCAATTTTTTTTCCTATTTACGTGACCAAGAATATGTAAAACATATATTTGTGTTTTTTTTTGTGCAGAGACAAATCGGGGGAAGGCGGTGAATTGTTTGTGCGCTTATTTATAATGTAGCCAGGTGGAGCTGGGAGAGGGGGCTGCGTGGTGTCGGTGGTGGCAGGGGTCACGTGGCGGGGCTCTATAAAGGCGCAGTAACCAATTACGCGGCCTCCCCTGATCCCCGTTCGTGCCTCCAATACCCCCCTCGCTTATTATTTAAACACGGGCCGTGGCATTTGGATAAAGGGTGCGCATCCTGGGTGGGTCACCGCAACCCCTCCCCCCTATTCCCCCCTCCCCACCCATCCCAGGTCCGCCACACCCACGATTTACTCTGAATTCATCCCCACCAACACCATCGTCGGCCATGGTCAATTCACTGTTGAATGAAGGTCTCCTCCCTAACCCGTCGCCCTCTCTCCCGGTGCCGTGATGATGATGAATAGGGGTCGGCAACCAAAGCAAGAAGATAATTTTTTTTCGAATTCGGTAAAAAAAAAAACCTCCCTCAATATTTCAACAGCCGGAATGCACTGTGGTGAATACGAGACGGTGGTTCTTAATGAGTCGCATGTTGCTGACCCTTGCCCATGGTAAACTGGACTCCATGGTGAAGTGGACTTCCATGGTCAGGATTAGGCAAGCAAAATAACAAATCTTTTTTTTCGAATTTCAAGAGCCAAAATGCAGTCCTTAAAGAGCCGCAGGTTGCCGACCCCTGGTGATTAACAATCTACCCATCAACAGCTGCCCGAGACGGTGCACGCATCCTCTCGGGCGCGCTCCCCCCTCTCTTCGCGACCGCTGTGGAACAGTGAACTAGACAGCCAACTCACAGTGACAAAAATAGTTAATCAGACAATTCACCTCCTTCCCGTATACATCTCTGCGCATACATTTGTTTTTTTTTACACATCCCATTCAGGGCCGGATTAAGATTGTGTAGGCCCCTGGGCTACATGTACTGTGTGGCCCCCAATAATCAACGTTCAAGAATAATGTAATGTATTTTTACAAGGCTAACAACAAATAAAATTCAGCATTCACAAATGAAATAACTTTTCACTTAATCTCTGGAGGCCTTGCAGCTGGCAGAGGACCCTGGGCTGCAGCCCCAAAAGCCCATGCCTTAATCCGGCCCTGATCCCATTAGCCGATCATGGTGCTGGATACATTACTCACTACGTGAGGTTATGGCCATCATAGGCGGTTGCTAACAACACTTCCCCCAGCAGTGTGTTGCAGGCTATACGGGGGATCTTTGTCAGTGTACTTAAGATGATTTATATTATGTAGCTGCTATAAATTTCCATATAAGCCACTTTGTTGACCTATCATGTTTGGCCAGGTCGCTTCTGAAAAATGGGTTAATACCTCTGTGGGCATCACCTGGTAAGATAAAAATGAAGTCTAGTTTTATTTATACATATAATTTAAGCAATTTGTTTACTTTTTCTATACTTAGCACTCCTATCGTATTTTTATAGTTTTGTTCTTGTAACGTTTTGACCCCGTGCTGGATATCTCTGATTTAGAGCTTCATAGCTCATCGGATTCATCCAGAATATCAATAAATATTCTGATTATGTCTATGTGTATTCGCGGTTCTGTCCACAACTGCACATAATGAGGCATTCTCAGCTCCCGCATCGCAAATATCGCCACCTTTCTCTCACCCTCCCCATCCCAGACCCCAGTGCACGAGGGACCAGACTTTGCCTCGGCTTCTCACATTGGCGGCTGCCCACACGCACAGCAGAAACGCTCTGTGCTCGCATGATTGACGCTGCCACTCAAAGGCCCCATTCATTGCACTGCGCCTGTCATTCATTTGCAATTCATGACGTGGGAGCGCGCGCGCGTTCGTGTGTGTCCGTGCCCGAGTGGGGAGCAGTGGCGCAGCAGCTGGCGAACCTGGCCGAATTCGATTCCCGCTCACTACTCAACATCCGGTGTCCAATGTGAAAGGATCCTGGGCCTCCCCTCTGTCGGCTCAACCTTAAATATATTGAGTTGTGTATAAAACATCAGTACTGGGGAGGCAAAGGCGGCCGAGCGTAGTGCTGGCCACGCATCCCATCCGTGCTTGCGAACAGCACTGCCCCATAGTCTGCTCTTGTCCTTCCATACGTCTGTGCTCCCCACCTCAACGAAACCGCAGTGACCAGCGTGGTGAAGTATGGTCAAATAACCCACATAACCGACCCGGCGTGGGTGGTATATTGCGAAAAGCGAGACCACATGTAGATCATGCCTTCACGTGGCAAGTCCAGCTTCTCTAATCACAATGTAAAGACATAATCCTTTGTTAGCCACTTTATACAACGAACACGTGAGGAAATGTCTAGAATTCTGAACACAATCCTTTATTTAACCTTCACCATATAAAGCGAGACAATACATTCAGCCAGGTCCAATCAACAGGAGACGTCCTTTTCCTGTTGTTCAACATCACGTAAATAATTCGTTTCCCTGATTTCACGTTCGATGAAGAGCCGCCGTATTATGGAAGGAGTTTCCACATCTTGCAACCAAGATATTCATCTCGAATGCTGACGGCGACACGTGTGGTCCATTTGGTCCGCAAACTCGAGTTTCGTGTCTCACTCGCACCACCTTCCGAGAAGCGAACCCTACCCACGACATTGGACTCGGCGCTCGACATAGCGTCCGGCTCATAATGGACAAGTCGGACACCACCGAGACACTACGCAACAACATGGATTCGTGCAGCAGTGGCGGCTAGCAGCAGCAGCGGCGTCTGAACCAGAGGTCGCAATCGGGTACCCGATACCCGTACCCGGCTACCCGGCCGGGTACGGGTACCCGTTTGAGACCCTGGTGCGGCCGGGTACACGTACGGGTAGGCCGTGAGTCACTGGGAGTCACTGGTGAGTAACCGTTTGTCACTCATTTCCCAACGTCTTGTCTCTTCTCACAATTCAAGTTCCTAGAATCAACCCACCCACGCCTGCAACATGGCTTCATCCCAGAGGTCGCAATCGGGTACCCAATACCCGTACCCTACCCGATACCCGGCTACCCGTACCTGGCTGGGTATCGGGTACGGGTACCCGTTTGCGACCCTGGTGCGGCCGGGTACGGGTAAGGAATCAAAACCCGTTTGCGACCTCTGGTCTGAACGCAAGCACTATCTCAAGTAGCGGCACAGCAACAGCTGGACATGGGCATCCAGAAGTGTGGACATTATTTAAATTAACAAAATAAAATCTTAATTTTCTAATATGAACAATTACTTATTTCTCCAGGCGGTAGTAGTTACCACATACAGAGGTGGCTACGACACACGTGGTCTGTATTCCAGCACTAGAGGCAGTACAGAGGGCTGTATGTATATGTACGTTGAACTTCTTTCGTAACGTACGTAAGCTAACCTTGCTAATCGAAGGTGCGGGGGAAGGACAAGAGTGTTGGCGGATCACACAGAGATGTTGCGAAGCGCCCCCTTCCAGGAGCGCATACCCTGGCTCGCCAGTAACAATGTAGACTCCACCTGTTCCATCTGTATGGGATAGAGCGTTGCCCCGTCGCATGTGTGGGTGTTCTCCAGGTGCTCCGGAATTCTTCCACTGATTGTCCGATAAAACCTTTATATACAGGGTGGCCCAAGAATTAGGACACACAAGGTCATTATATTCGTTTGAATAATTTAAGAAACGTTCAAACTGACTTCCATCAAATGAATACGTGCAAAAATTATATTAAGAAATTAATTAGCCGTTTTAAAAAAGATTAGACTGTGTAATCTTTGAACAATCATCAATTATATTTCGTCTCAATTAATTCATGGTTCTTGGTCAAGTTTTGTAAATGACAGATTTGATGTATCCCCACAGGAAGAAATATTGATATTAATAATGACAATAGATAACAAATAGTTGAACACGTAGACTTTCGCGACCAATATTATCCATAATAAAGGTTTTTGGGTTAGATCGCGTCAGTATAAATGTGTCGTAACCCTCCACCACCCGACACAGCCAGTAAGGTTTGTCACGTAAACAACGTGCCAATTAGCTACTACAGCCCACCGGTGTGTTGGAGATTAAATCCACAACATTTAAAATTTGAATACGTCTCTGATCTCTGCACCTGATGTGTTCAGTGATGACGTCATCTTGCTCTATTTAAGAACAGAGGTAGATTGGTTCACTATTCTGGCAAATCGCCCAATGATGCTGGATGGGTCCAAGCATAAAGCTAGGACCCATCTTTAAAAGGGCTCTTTCCTATATAACAAAAAATAAACAATTAAATGTTTCAATAACCCTGTGTGTCTGACTTCCGGGCCACCCCGTATAGAGAGCAGCAGAGCTTGGGCGATTGTTGGCACTCGCTCAGCCGGTGGCCACGTTCGCACTCGCTCGTCTGTAGCTCCTCGTGTCTCCGAGTCGTCCTCTCTCTCCGAATATTGTATGGCGGCGTGTTAAACGTTGAAATTATTATCATTATAAAATAAAATAGGTTATTTTTCACACATCCCATCAGCCAAAGTCTTCCGGCAGTTAATTTATTTCAGCAGCAGAGCTTTAAGACAGCAATACCCTGGACTGGATTTAACATTCAGTGTCTCATCAGCAGTCATGACCGCTTGAACCCAGGAGCGAGAACTGAGCTTGGAGCGATTTGACAAGAAAGAGACAGCGTTCTGCTAGGTGTGATTAAAGCCCTGAGCCATCAAAGACGATGGCTCCATGAAGCTAAATACGCAGACAATACACCTCTTTTACGTATCTGGCATTGTGGCTGATGGAATGTGTAAACGATGCTTGAAAAAAAATAATGTAGAGGAGCAGATACGTGGAGACACTGTTTGCTTAGTTATTTTATTATAGTCTCCAAAACACTCTTGATTAGGTTTTGTTGTGTATCAAGAGTTTTACGTAAAGCTAGGACCCATCTTTAAGAGGGCTCTTGCCTATAAACATCTGGCAGTTCACCACCATTGGCTCAGGAAATCTTGACTGATGATGAGACAATGAACGTCAAAACCAGTCAAGCGTTTTTCTCGTGGTGAGCCAATGCTGCTGAAATTATGCACTCCCAGACGGCCGTGTGGCTGATGAGATGTGTAAAAAAAAAGTAAATTTTTTTCATGTGGAGAGACAGATAAAGGGAGAAGATGAATCGTCTGCCCATCAACGAAGGGAAGTTACACCTTGGATTCACTGCGGGCTGCGTCACCTCACAGACCGAGCAATCACACCGCACGCGTCCCGCAAACCACTGATCCAATCAGCAGAGAAGTGCAAAATAAAATTAATTGCCCAGAACTTTGAACTCAAAAAAGACTACTACTGTGCCCACAGTCCCCGGCTATTGCACCATAAACCCCAATCAGGACAAGCATCACTGGTGGCTACAACTGATGAGTTCGAATCTTGGGAGTCAAACCCATCATCATTACTCTGGGGTTGATAAAAAATAAACAACTACTTTGCAGGAAAGCAGCATGGGTCATCCTATGGGAAGACTGACCTCTGCCATGGGAATGTGGAATTATCCAACACTGGCTCTGAGCTGACCATTGACCTGGATTGTAGGGAGCGGTGGCACAGTGGTTAGGGCACTGGACTACAAACCCGGTGACCAGAGCTCAATTCCTGCTCACAATCAACATCGATGACGAATATCTGAACCGGTTCTAGGCCTCCCTTAGGCCGACTCAGTCTTAAATGAGTTACTGGTGCGGTGTGTAAACCTCGCTAAAAGGAAAACAAAGGTGGCCGGGCGTGGTGCTGGCCACCCACCCTCTCTTGTGCCATAACAGCCTTCATACGTGCTCCCCAACAGCACTTACCCCAACAGTTTGCTGAAGTTAGACGGAAGATCTTTGTCTTTGTTACATGTGTGAATGTGGGTCGAATGTGTGCCTGTGTTAACATGTGTGTATTAACGTGTGTGTGTGTGTTAGCGTGTGTGTGTGTGAATGTGTTATATAAATATCTACTCAGGGGTAACTGTTCAAATGCCCATACGAGACTGTTTGGAAACAATCTTGATTTGAAGCTTTCGTGACTGCATTTGTCTCTCATTGGACATGCTAATTTCTCTGCCACCCCCCCTCTCTCTCCCCCATGCCGCTGATCTCTATACTATACCTCATCACAGAGGCGTTGTTTCTCAGTGTCTCTCTCTCTCTGTGTGTCTCTCTCACTGTATATGTCTGTCTCCGAGCTTGCATCTGACGGTTGCTTGTGCTGCAATCGAAACGTCGTGATTTTTTTTCCTTTCTACGTGACTTTACCGAAAGAACCAAAGAGTGTTTGGAAACATTTGTAAAAAAAGTTAAATCTGGAAAATATTTTAAATTGCAACCAAAGAGTGTTTGGAAACATTTGTAAAAAAAGTTAAATCTGGAAAATATTTTAAATTGCATTTCTACCCAGGCCCCTTGGTATCCATGGTGTGCACAGTGTCATCTCCAACTACAATGTCATCTACCCCGTATTCCTGGCCTCTCTGTGTGCTGTGTGACGAAGGTCCATCAACGGAAACGTCGCCGATTACATGCGCTATTCAGCATTACTGACACACGTGTGTCGAGTTTGTTATATTATGCTGAATTACATCGATTCCTAGGCTCAGGGCCCGACTTGCGCGTGCGAGGAGCAATGCTTTTCCGGGGTCGCTGGTTCGAATTGATCTTGGCGTGGCGGTTATAATGGGGTACACGTTTCTTAAACGCCCCCCCACCACCTCTGCCCACCCATACAATTAATCGGGCTCACCACCGTCTACGATCAGCATTGCGTGTGGCAGAGTGAAGTGTTGGAACCCTGACCCTCTTCCAACACATCTGGTTAGTGTGTAGGACATCAAACAGCACACGAGAGCTCCCTCTAGTGGAGGATTTTCCTTTGCCTTGAACACGGTCTTCCCACTGAGCTGTACGGCGTGGTCTGTGTGGTGTCGCCCACTGTGCATTGTGTGTGTGCGTGGGCGAGTGGCTCCCTCTAGCGTAACCCGGACCAGCTGGGCAGATAGGAGACCCAACCTCCTGACGCGCCACCCGAGTCCAGCTCCTCCTCTCCTAAACAACAACAAAAGCCATCATTCACTACTAAGTGGAGGTGACATCACCACAGCGACTGTGCCAGCCTTGGTGCACTTTGAGGCCATGTAAAGTGTTGAAGGCTCGCTGGCAGGAGGTCATGGGACAGACCCAGGAGAAATGGGTTGACTGACTGTCTTGCTGCGTTTTAGCTGCCCAGTGCTGCACTCGTTATTGTGAGCTTTGCTCCGCTGTTGATTGTTGTTGGAGGGCGACTGCCTCCAATTGCCCAGACGCATTCACCCCAAGCCGCCTCCACAGAGGCTGGTCTTAACACCACTGGTATCAGTCATCGGCAAGTCCAATCAGCTCTACATCCTCCTGCACCACATCGGCTCCATCTCTTCTCTAGCATGTGCCATGCCAATTTCGCCCCTTCTATCCATCTAAACAGAAGCTGCTTTGACATATGGTGGCTGGACATGCGGGCTACATGACCCAGCCAACAGTCTCGCTTGCCAGAGGTCATCAATATCTGTGAGATCCTCACATAATCCAGTCTAGTTAAACCCAGGATGGATCATAGGCAGGCCAGTGTTGATGTCCCTTCAGAGGGGTCCACGTTTCAGAAGGGAGGCCATAATTGTGGCTGAGAAGACCTGGAGCTTTGTATAGAGCAACAGGCCAGGCAGCTTCCACACAATTATGCAGCCAAGGAATAGATAATATAATAACACTGAAATTATTAAAAGTGAAACCTCTGCTGTCAAAACGGACCGAGTCATTAGCACACTGCCCAGGTATGGCAACTTCTACACTCTTTCCACAACCGCCCATCACTCATGGGGAGTTAAGAGTGTGGATTGTTTGTCAGTTGCTTTGTTTTTGTCTGGCTAATGGTAAGGCCCCACCTCTTAGCGGTACATTACAGGTTCAGTCTCTAACTCCTTCTCAGAATGAGCTGCAATTACGATATTTGCATCGTGCATAGTATGGTTCACCAATATGGAGCCATCCCTTGACTGCACGCAGGCATAGATCAGCCTCCCATTGTTTCTGTATCAAATGGAAATCCCTCTAATACTGCCATGAAAAGCTTCTCAAACTACGTGGTGTAAGAAGATATTAATTTTTTTAGGAGCCAGAGGACATCCCTTTCACACCCCAAGGTGAAGGGGGAATGGCTAAGACTTCTGCCCAAGCAGCTTTACCCGGGCATGCCCACTATTATGAACGTCCTTAATCACTGTACACACAGAAACACGCAAAAATACAAAACAAAGATTCCCATATAGCTTCAACAGATTGTTGGGGCAAGGTTTGTTAGTGAGCACCTATGAAGGCTGGCACGGTGCACCAGGCGGTTGGTGGTTATCACTACGCACGGCCGCCTTTGTCTCGCCAGTGGCGATGTTTTTACAGGCCAACCATCGTACTCATTTAAGGCTGAGCTTACCTAGGGAAGACCCAGGACCGGATTAGACATTCTTTGTCACCGTTATTGGTCGTGAGCGGGAATTGAACTTGGTGACTCGGATTCAAAGTGCAGTGCGCTAACCACTGTGCCACTGATCTCCACACACAGAAGCACACACACATGCACGCAGGGACAAAACCACACTGGATTAAACAGACGCATGCACGGAAAAACACACATGCACAGACAGAAACGCACCAAAACAAAACAAAGATCCCCCAGTAAAGCCTAAACAGACTATTAGGGCAAATTCTGTTAGCGAGCTCCTATGAAGGCCAGCAAGGCAGACGAAGGGGTGGGTGGCGAGCATCAAGCCTGGCCGCTTATGTCTCTCCAGTCGCGATGTTTACGCACTGCACCAGGTACTAATTTGAGGCCGAGTCGACTTAGGGGAGGCCCACGACCAGTTCAGATAATCGTCACTAGTTTTGGCTGTGCGCGGGAATCGAACTCAGGTCGCCGGGCTTGTAGTGCAGCACGCTAACCGCGACACTACCACTTCCCACACAGAAACACACGCACGGACAAAACCACGCATGCATGGTCAGAAACACACATGCACAGAAAGAAACACGCATGCACGCACAGGCAGAAACACACACCACGTACCGTTGGCAATGTGAGCGAGAAGGCCACGCTCCTCAGGGCTGAGCCTCAGCAGGGTGTGCAGCACGGGCAGCAGGGCCTGGCGCTCGCTGCCCGGTGGCAGCGATACGAACTTGAGCAGCACGTTCTTGAGGTACTCAAGGCTGGAGACGGCGCCGTCGCGCTCCGCGTTGCGCTCCAGCCGGCGCACCTCACTCTTGAGCACCTGCAGGGCGAGCGCGAGGCAAGCAGCAAGGTTTCGGCTTTAGTAGAGAAGAGGCGCCGCAGGGCGAGCATGCCGCCGCGTGGCATGGACACCTGGGCAGCAGCTTCTGGTACGACAGAAGTCCTCCCTTTTTCTCTCACGTCACGCGGAGCGCAGGAGAATCGGCGGTGTGAGAGAAGGGAAACATGAGATATGTGTGTCCCAGAGATGCTTACGAAGTTATGCAGAAGCGTGAGAATGATGACAGGGGGTCTATGGTGACAGGAATAATTCTCTGACGAGTTTGTTTAGTTCCCCAGGAGAGAGATCAAGATACCAGGATGAGTCTCATGAGTAAGAGTCACACGTGCAGTGACGTGTGGAGTGACACGTGGAGCGAGTGCGGAGTGAGGTGCACAGTGAGGTACGCAGTGACGTGAGGTGCCGAGTGATCGGAATGAGCGTGAGGTGACAGTGCGGTGAGCGTGGGGCGGGCGTGGGGCGAGCGTGGGGGTAAGGCCACCTTGATCTGCTCCAACAGGACAGCGTTAGTGGCCTCTGCCTCGTGCAGCACCTCGCTCAGGTGGTCGGCCCGGCGCGACGCGGCGCCCAGCGCCAACGCCAGCTGCTCGCTCGACGGCTCCAGCCCCACGGGGCCGACTGGGGGCAGGGGAGCAGGGCAGCCACGTGTTAAGTAATGAGAGCCAGGCGGACAAATCAACACAATGGCGTGTTTTTTCCCACAAAATAAAATGTTTTCACCTATTTAGGTCGGTGCTCGAGTGGGTGGTGTGGCCAGCACCACGGCCTCGCTGCCTTTTTCTCCCCAGTGGAAAAAATGTACACACCACACCAGGTACTCATTTTAGGCCAAGTCGACCTAGGGGAGACTCAGAACCTGCACGTATACTCGTCACTGATGTTGGCCGCGAGCGGGAACTCAGATCGCTGGATTCCTAGCGTGGCACGCTAACCGCGACACCACCGCTGGTTATTGCTCACCACTCTTGACATCTGTGCTGTTGAGGAGTTGCTCCAGCGAGGGAGACTGCTGCGGGGTGGGGGGCAGGGAGGGGGGGCACGGTGGGGCTCGGGGCCCCGATTCCTCCATCCCCTCCCCCTCTTCGCGAGCCGCCACACCCCACGAGCCCCCCGCCTCCAGCCCCTCCCGGGCCCCTGTTCGGCCTGGGGCCTGTGCGGAGGCCTGGGCTGCAGATTCAGGCAACGGGGGCGGGGGTTGTGTACGGAGATTTAATCCTTTCCCTTATTATTGAAAAAGGAGCCTTCTTGTTATAATATTTATTCTGCTACTTGCATGCTCCACAACAATGTTAACTATTACGATGTAAACTAATTATGGACATTATAAAGCATGTGAAAAATGTGAGACAATGATACACATTGAACGTGCTTTTGGGATAAATCGTTCGACTGTTGGGACAATTTTAAAGGATAAGGACCGAATTATGCAAAATGTGAAAGGTTCTGTGCCAATGCAGTCCAAGATGATTAGTAAGAAAAGAAGCATAGCGATTGAAGAAATGGAAAACTCTTGTGTGTGTAGCTGGAGGACCAGCATCAGCGTTGAATGCCTATAAGCCTTATGCTAATTTAGGAGAAGGCCTTTTGCAGATCTAAAGGCGAAACAGGGCAAGAGTGTTGCTGATGAGACATTTACTGCTAGTCATGGTTGGTTCCACAGATGTAAGGCTCGTGCGAACCTGCATGGTAGCAGCCAGGGAGTTCCCGAAGGCTCTGTCGGAAATCATCGATGAGGGAGATTACCTGCCACAGCAGGTGTTTAATGTCGATGAGACAGGACTATTTGGCAGAAAATTCCAGATCGGTCATGCATTGTCAAAAAGGAGAAGAATATGCCAGGTTTCAAGGCTGCGAAGGACAAGCTTACTCTCTTACTTGGTGGAAATGCTGCTGGGAACTGTAAACTGAAACCCTTGTTAGTTTAAATTTTGACCTTGTTAGTTTGTTATGCCTAAAACCTAAGGGTCCTCAATAATATTGCCAAAGGTTCACTGCCTCTTGTGTGGAAGTCTAACCCTAAGGCCTGGGTGACTCAGGCCCTCTTCCAAGATTGTTTTTTAAATCCTTTATATTAAGTTCGCATGCTTGCTTGCGTGCTTGCTTGCTTACGACCGTGCAAATCTTTCGGTCGTTTTTTAACCCACTTCCCGTGATCCAATCGAGCTCACATTTTCCACACAAACTCGTTGTGCCAGACAATTAATGTTCGTGAAAAAAAATTCCCAAAATTTTACACTTTTTAGGCAAATTTTTTTTATTTTACATATATTCAAATAGAACTCATTCATGGCTTTGGCTGAACGTCACAGTATAAGAACCCAGAGCGTAACCCCTCCACAAGCCGTGGTGGAGTAGCGCAGTTGGTAGCGCCCTCGCTTCCCATGCCAAAGGTCGCGGGATCGATCTCCACGTCCTCCACAGGCGAATATATTTTTAAATCCTTTATATTAAGTTCGCTGCCACGCATATAAAGGATTTATAGTGAAAAACTTTGTTTTTACGGGTTATACTTATTTTCCATCACTTTGTAACTGAAGTGGAAATATACTGCAACAACAACAACCTGCCCTTTCAAGAACCTGCTGTTACTAGATAATGCCCCTGGTCATCCATCTGTCCTGGGCAGTTACCATGCCAACATCCAGGTGGTGCACTTGCCTCCCAATAACACTTCTCTCCTGCAACCTATGGACCAAGGTGTCATATCTACTTTTAAGAGATGCTAGCTGCAGATAACTTTCAGAAGGGTGTGAAGGCTACAGAAGGGGAAAGTGGAGTGACGCTGAGACAGTTCTGGAAGGACTATGACATTTACAAGGCAGTTAAGAACATTGATGCTTCCTGGCATGAGATCACAGCTCCCAACATGAATCGTGTGTGGAAGCAGCTCTGCTCCCAGTTTGTTCCTGACTTCTAGGGATTTCAGGAGACTGCGGATTCAGTGATCAACAAGCTGGTGGATATGGTCAAGGAACTGCAATTGGATCTGGAGGAAGAAGATTTCCAGGAATTGTTGGAATGCCACACTCAGGAGTTGACCAACAATGATTTGATGGAGCTGGAGTCACACAGGGTGGAGGATGAGGTCACTGAGGAGGAACAGGAGGCCGAGCAACCTAAAGGGTTCAACACCAAATAGCTGGCTGAAGGTTTCAGCATGATTGAGAAGGCACTGGCCTGTTTTGAGTCTCAGGACCCAAACACTGAAAGGTTTACCTAGGTGTCGGCAGCTGTTCATGATGATATTGCCTGTTAGAAGTTGATTTATGAAGGGAAGAAGACAACTGTGCAGACATGTCTTGGTAAGTTTTTCAAAACACAAGCACCAAAGGGAATTAGCATCAACATCTACAAAACATAAATAACCAGTGGCATCTACATCTGCAAAAACATGGAAAACCAGTGGGATCTACATCTGCAAAACATGGAGAACCAGTGAGATCTACATCTGAAGAACATGAAGAACCAGTGGCATCTACATCTACAGGAGATTATACAACTTTTAAAGTCATTCCCTGTGTTTGGTGTACACGCCGTACAACATGTTTGGAATCGACAGCAATAAAGTTTGACTCGCAAACAAATCGACATACGAACAGACCTCTGGAACCTAACTCGTTCGTAAGTAGAGGAGTCCCTGTACTGCTGAGAATCCGGTAACGCACTTCGAAGAGGCCGAGTGTGCGGCTAATGGGATGTGTAAAATAGAATGTATTTTTTTTATTTATGTGGAGGGATAGAAGTGGGAGGCAGGTGTTTGTTCAATGAATATATGTTAAACTTCTTTTGCACCGTACGAAGTCAAGCGTGCTCACTGGAGGTGCGGGGAAGGACAACAAACTAAACACAAAAATTCTAGATTTGAAGCTTTCGTGACTGCAAGGATTCATATTCTTAGGTTTTTTCGGTAAAGTCACGTAGGTAAAAAATTAAAATTAATAAAAGTAAAATACAAATAAAAATCACGACGTTTCGGAGGCAACACAAGCTTCCGTCTTCAGGTGGAACCGTCACAGCATGATAGCTGTATCAAGTATTTTTTATTTTACTTTTATTAATTTTAATTTTTTACCTACGTGACTTTACCGAAAAAACCTAAGAATATAAACACAAATGGCCAGTTCTAAACAAATTAGTTTATCAATATTAATTATTTAAAAGCGCAAAGCTCAAAGTGGCTTCCCAATATCAGAAGGAAGAGCGTTTCAGACGGCCGCAGAAGTGCATCCAAAAGCGCTGCGTGATGCGGTGACCATCTTTGTACGATAGCCAGCCACCCCTCACTGGAGCAGCTCCTCCACTCGTGTTTGGGATAGGGTTGTGCATGTGTGTGTGCTCGCGTGTCTGCATATGTGCACGTGCTGGTGTGCGCATGTGTGCGTGGCTTCACCAGTTACCGCCGGGCTGCTGGCGCCGAGCGCCTGTGCCTCAAGACGGCTCACTCGGCCGTGCATGTCGTGAGCGGCGCGGCGACTCTCGTCCCTTTCTGCCTCCGCTCGCTTCACCTGCGCCCGCATGGGGGGGTCACCGGACGTTGAACCGTTTAAGGTTTTTCCGCACACGCAGAAACGTCAGCAGCACCGGACGCAATGCATTTAGGCTCTTTAGCCTCTTTGGATTTCTTTCGCAGACCGCACGTAGCCAACCGCGCTCATTGAAGGTGCGGGGAAGGAACAAAAACGAAACACCAAAAGCAGTTCCAGTGGCTTCTTAATATCGGAAGGAAGAGCGTTCCAGATAGACGCAGAAGCGCATCTTTACACATCTCCACAGGTGAGACAACGGCGGCCGGGCATAGTGCCGGCCACCTATCCACCCCCTCCGTGTGCTTTGCCGGCCTTCACACTCGCTAACAGCACTTGCCCCAACAGTCTGTTCATGCTATAGGGGGTGATTTTTGTCTTTGTTGGAAACCAGGGTGCCATGGTGGCGAGATGTTAATCCCCTCTGAGAAGAGCGTGGAGCTGCAACAGTGGGTGTGTAATGGTCAGCACACTCGTCATACAATCTACAGGTCGCCGGTTGTTTTCCATATCCCGGCTCGGCAGCTGAAACAATGAGACAAGTTTCTTAAATCTCCACGCCCACCGCTCCTGTCCGCCCCTTCCGCCAGCAGTGGCGCGAGCGAGCAACTGTAGGGGCTACGCCTGTTACCGTTAAACTGCTGAAACGAGGGTGAGAGACGAACCGAGCGGTGATTTAGGCCTTCGTGCCATTTGTGCGTCCCTCCGTGCGTGCCAATCATTGCATGTGTGTTCGTTACGAAATACTCCACTAGAAAACAGTTACCGGGTTCCTGAGTAAGAAGAGACGGTAATTGACTTGGAAAACGGCTATCGGCTCATTTAACACGCAGTAGGCTTCCGCGACCAATGTTACTTGCGTAAATATAAATGCGTCGTTAAACCTGCCACCACCTGACTCGGTTATTGTTTAACAGACCCAGCCATTAAAACCTTCCCTGTGGCCCTTATACGAATGTTAATAACAACAATAACAATCAACTATCTATAACCTTTGTCATTATATAACTTGCTGACGTGCGCCTAGTTGACATCTGTGAAAAAAGAGTTTTATATTATAGCTCATCGGATTCCTCCAGTCTAAATAAATATTTTTATTCAAGCGACAGCCACAACTCTGGCTGTCACCAGATGATGCTAACGTCGTAAATACACAACATTGTAAATGTTGTCGTTAAACCTGCCACCACCCACAACATTGTAACATTGTAAATGTTGTGGGTTTACTTTCCAACACACCAGTGTGCTGAACGAGTTAAGAAATGTAATTTTTGTTTACATGACAAACCTTACTAATTGGCGGTATCAGGTATTGGCGGGTTTAACGACATTTATATTTCCGTGATCGAACCCAAAACATCTCAATTATGGATAATATTGGTCGTGAAAGCTTCCGACTACAACGTGTTAATTAGAATGGCATCCCCCAGTGGCAGCTGTCCATGTGCGGCACAAGGTGACTCAGCACCTGGACCGCGAGCGGGTGTTGCTAATTGGGAGCGATGAAGGCTGCTGTGTATCATCCCATTTGAGCGGTAACCTTTCTAAGTTGGTCAATATGAACCATGACGACAGCACACAATGGCCTATTCATTTAAAATTACGTCACAGGAACTTTAATGTCCACTGTGAAGCAGAAGCCTCAGATTGTATGTTTAGTCCAGACAGTGGATCGTTACACCATGGTGACAGCTCCATAGGTCAGTTAAAAACGTTAAACGTTCTGTTTATTACTATAGATATTTCTATCTGTGCAACAAAACGGGAACCAAATATATGTTTGCCGGCATGTCATGCAGTTACTGGTAAAGCAAACAAAATTATTTGAACAAAACTAATTCATGAAGGCATGAAGCGAGGTGATGGTGGTGGTGATTAAACTATACCAAGGTCCTGGAAGGAAGCATTGTCTGTGCCATTGGCAATGGGACCAGGGAAATGGAAAAAAACATTACAATATGTGATAGAATTAATGGCACTAGCTGTAATAACAATGAAGAGTTAAAATCTGACCCATAAGACTCACACTGGACCCATAGACTTACACGGGTCCCACAGACTTACGCAGGATAACTTACCTGTTCTTTCAATGCTCCTTTCTCGGACTCACTCTGAGCTCTGAGTGTCGTGATGGAGCTCGTCAGCTCTGCACGCAGACACGCGCATTCAGCCCGCACCGCAGTCAACCTGCACAGAACAACAAATACAAAGATTCCCCCCCCGGGTAGCTTTAGGAAACTGTTGGGGCAAGTTCTGTACGCGGGCACCGATTAAGGGCGGCACGGCGCACTGAGTGTGTGATGTGGTCAGCACCACGCCCAGCTGCTATCTTCCCAGTGCTGATCTTTACACATCGCACCAGGTACTCATTTAAGGCTGGGTCAACCTAGGTTTGACCTCCTGCCAGCGAGCCTTCGACACTTCACGTGGTCTCAAAGCGCACCCAGCATGGCACAAGCGCCATGGTGACATCACCGCCAAATTTGTGATGCACGGTGGTTATTGTTATTATTGTTATATCTGGTACAGATACAATGGAAGGCTGATTAAAGGCCCAGTGCAGTCAGGGGATGGCTCCCTACTGTTGACCTGAAGTGTGCTACTAAGGCTTTACCATCAGCCCTACAAAAACAAAGCACCTGCCTGGGTGTGTTGTGTTATGGGGCAGTTTTGGAGACAGTGGAGAGGTTTTCATACTTGGGCAGTGTGCCTATGACCAGATCCGGTTTGACAGTAGAGGTCTCACTCTGAATCAGAGTATTTTATGACATCAAATATAGTAAAACCTCTTTCTTTGTCGATTTTTCTTTAAAGAAATTCGATTATTTGCCATTTTATATTTGTACACCGCATCGTGGGGAGGGGGAACTTGCGCAGTGCAGCAGCGGTGGTTTTGTTTTACTTAATTCACTGGGTCTAAGCATCAGGTGAGTGGAGGAAATGCGAGCAACAGTAAAATGCATAAGTGATGAATTTTACTTAAAAGGCAGAATTGTTGGATAGATTTGCTCGTGGTGACGGTGTGTCTGCTGACCATCATCATCACACTATCATCCAAGTTAAATTAAACTTCCAAATCTACAGTATAATGTATGTGTTTTATTTAATACTAGCGGTAAGTACACGTCGTTGCCCGGGCGAAAAAGACAGACACACACATCGACTTACACACACTTTCTATGTACATGAGTATAGTGGAAGTAGCAAGGAACAGAAATATGATTTGTCCGCACACAAACATTATGACTGTAATATTATCAAGGTGATTATTGAAAAAATTGGTTTCTATCAAGGTGATTTGACACCAAAAAAAAAGGAATGCAGAGCAAGTTAATAATAAAATAATAGTTGTGAGCACACAAACGAAAATATGTGAATATTTTGAAGGCGATTATAAAAATACCAGGTTTCTGTGTACAAGAGTTGAGCGAAAGAAGCAAGAAATACAAAAATTAGTTGTCTGCACACAAACATTATTAATGTATATTGATTGTATATTTCGGTAAAGTCACGTAGATAGAAAAATAATGAAAAGTGTAAAAATATCACACAATACCATACAACAACAACCGCCATTCGGCACTAAGTGGCGGTGACGTCACTACGAGGCTTGTGGCAGGCTATGTGCACCTTGAGGCCATGTCAAGTGTCCAATGGCCACTGGCAGGAGGTGACGAGGCAGACCCAGATGCCACAGGTCGACTGACTGAGACGACTGGCTGATGCACCACCTGTGCCCCCTACTGTGCCAACTTACTGTGCTTTAGCCACCCGGCGCTCCGCTCGTTGTTGTGAGCGTCGCTCCTCCGCTCCCCGTTGTTGTTGGAGGATGACTGCCTCCAACTGGCCAGTAGCGTCCTTCACGAGCCTCCTCTACAGAGGCCGATCTTGAGACCACTGGTACCAGTCATCAGCAAGTCCACTAAGCTCCACGTCCTCTTGTACCACATCACTCCATCTCTTCTCTAGCCCGTGCTGCGTCCGTTTAGCCCCCACGGTCTGGCCGAACAAAAGCTGTTTAGGCATGCGGTGGCTGGGCATGCAGGCTACATGGGCCAGCCAACGCAGCCTTGCCTGCCGGAGCTCACCGATGGGACTTTGGCCACATCTTTCAAGGATTTGTGAGCTCCTCACACAATCCAGCCTGGTTAGATCCAGGATGGATCGTAGGCAGGCCAGCCAAAATATTTGTAACCGGTAAAGATGTTCCATTAAGGGGGGTCCACGTTTCGCATGCGTAGAGAAGGGAGGGAATGACTGTGGCCGAGAAGACCTAAAGCTTCGTTGCGGAACGACAGACCAGGTAGCTTTCACACAGCGTTACGCAACCGATGAAAAGACAATGCCGCTGGACTGATTCGGAGTGAGACCTTTGCTGTTAAACCGGAGCCGGTCATGAGCACACTGCCCAGGTATGGCGAACTCTCCACTCTCTCCACAAGCGGCTCATCACCAATTGGGAGTTGTGGGGGTGAAGTGTTTGATGGTACAAAATACCCAGGCAGGTGGTTAGTTTTGGTGGGGCTGATGGCAAGGCCCCACCTCTTAGTGGCAAGCTCCAGGTTCAGCAGCAGTGCCTCCAACTCCTCCTCTGAGTGAGCAGCAATTACCAGATCATGGGCATACATAACATGGTTGACCAATAGGGAGCCATCCCTTGACCGCACCTGGGCATCGATTAGCCTCCCATTGCATCTGTAGCAGATGGGAATTCCTCCGGTACAGCTACTGAAGGCTTCACAAAGTACGTGGTAAAAATAGATGTAAAATAATGTGGGAGCCAGAGGACATCCCTGTCGCATCCGAAGGTGTACAGGCAATGGCTCCGACTCCCGGCCACGTAGTTTTACCCGGGCGGCAAAAAATATGAAATCCTGTAGTCACAGAAGTTGTAAGTGAAGATAAGTAATGTAATAATAGGAAGGTGATATTTTCAAAAGTTGGTGTATTTGAATGTGAGTTGACACAATAATGAAGATGATATTTTAACGTGAGTTGACACAATAATAAAGAGGAAAACAATGGCCAAGTTATAAGCCAAAAAAATTCCGTATTTTTCCGCATATAACCCGCGGGGTATACCACTTTTTACAAACAAAACAAGACCCTGCGGGGTATATGGAGGTGCGGGCTATCCCAAAAATATTTTACACGTGTGACATGTCATAACTCGTTTAATGTTTTCATGGTCGGACTATCCACTATGCAACACTTACCTTTGACTAAAGCACTGCTGAATAAACCACTCGCACTAAAATTGCACATGTTATCACGTTTTAAATTTTTCGAATTGTTTGTACAATGAAACGACAATTTTTGTAGTGGGCGCACTTTGTTTACCGTAATACTTCCAGTGGCTGTAGGGGGGTGTGAAAGTTTCAGCTGAGGCTATGGATTGAATAATGGGAAGGGTCTTAACAAGCGTCTACCAGACGCGGAATCATAATTGCTGAGTCCCTTAGGCCGCTGCTATTGGCTGAGCACTATACAGTCGTGACCATGAGCTTTGTTTCAAACTTCCAATGGCTTTGTTGCCAGGAGGCAATGGCGTTACCGTAGTGCCACTATTGTCTGCGCAGTGCGCAATCTACCAGTTGTTTTTGGTTTATTACATGCCCGTTAATTTCATCTTCATTATTGTGTGAACTCACGTTCAAATATCAACTTTTAGAACGCACGTTCTAATACACCTATTTTTTTAAAATATCACCTTCCTAATATTACATTACTTCTCTTCACTTACAGCTTTCGTGACTGCAGGATTTCACATTCTTTTCCTCTTTCTGTTACGTCACGTAGCTACATTTGAATAAATTTAGCATTTGTCACAATGCCATACACACCATACAAATCCTACACCTAATATTTTTTGCTTATAACTTGGCCATTACTTTCATCTTTATTACTGTGACAACTCACATTTGAATACACCTATTTTTAAAATATCATCTTCCTATTAATACATTATTTATCTTCACTTACAGCTTTCGTCACTGCAGGATTTCATATTCTGGGATTATGTGATACGGGAGGACGTGGAGCTGAGTGGACCTGCCAATGACTGGTACCAGTGGTGTCAAGATTGGCCTCTGTGGATGAGGCTCGTGAAGGACGCTACTGGGGAGTTGGAGGCAGACGCCCTTCAACAACAACGAAAGGTGAACGAGGTGACGCTCACAACGAGCCGAGCACAGGCAGCTAAACAGAGAAAGTTGACACAGCAGAAAGTACAGGTGGTGTATCTGCCAGTTATCTCAGTCGGCCAACCCATAACACCTGGGTCTGTTCCGTGACTTCCTGCCAGTGAGCCTTTCGACACTCCGCGCACACCTAGCCTGGCATAGGCGTTGTGGTGATTTGACTGCCACTTAGTGGTGAACAGCAGTTGCTGTTATGTGTGAGAGACCCACTCGGGTGTGTGTGTGTGTGAGAGACCCACTCGTGTGTGTGTGTGTGAGAGAGACCCACTCGTGTGTGTGTGTGAGAGAGACCCACTCGTGTGTGAGAGACCCACTCGTGTGTGTGTGAGACCCACTCGTGTGTGTGTGTGTGTGTGAGAGACCCACTCGTGTGTGTGTGTGTGTGTGAGAGACCCACTCGTGTGTGTGTGTGTGTGAGACCCACTCGTGTGTGTGTGTGTGAGAGACCCACTCGTGTGTGTGTGTGTGTGAGAGACCCACTCGTGTGCGTGTGTGTGTGAGAGACGCACTCGTGTGTGTGTGTGTGAGACCCACTCGTGTGTGTGTGTGTGTGAGAGACCCACTCGTGTGTGTGTGTGTGAGAGACCCACTCGTGTGTGTGTGTGTGTGAGAGACCCACTCGTGTGTGTGAGAGACCCACTCGTGTGTGTGTGTGTGAGAGAAAGACCCACTCGTGTGTGTGTGTGTGAGAGGCCCACTCGTGTGTGTGTGTGTGTGTGAGAGAGACCCACTCGTGTGTGTGTGTGTGAGAGACCCACTCGTGTGTGTGTGTGTGAGAGAGACCCACTCGTGTGTGTGTGTGAGAGAGACCCACTCGTGTGTGTGTGTGTGAGAGAGACCCACTCGTGTGTGTGTGTGTGAGAGACCCACTCGTGTGTGTGTGTGAGAGAGACCCACTCGTGTGTGAGAGACCCACTCGTGTGTGTGTGTGTGAGAGAGACCCACTCGTGTGTGTGTGTGTGTGAGAGACCCACTCGTGTGTGTGTGTGAGAGAAAGACCCACTCGTGTGTGTGTGTGAGAGACCCACTCGTGTGTGTGTGTGTGAGAGGCCCACTCGTGTGTGTGTGTGTGAGAGAGACCCACTCGTGTGTGTGTGTGTGTGAGAGACCCACTCGTGTGTGTGTGAGAGAGACCCACTCGTGTGTGTGTGTGTGAGAGAGACCCACTCGTGTGTGTGTGTGAGAGAGACCCACTCGTGTGTGTGTGTGTGAGAGACCCACTCGTGTGTGTGTGTGTGAGAGACCCACTCGTGTGTGTGTGTGTGTGAGAGACCCACTCGTGTGTGTGTGTGAGAGAGACCCACTCGTGTGTGTGTGTGTGTGAGAGACCCACTCGTGTGTGTGTGTGTGTGTGAGAGACCCACTCGTGTGTGTGCGTGTGTGTGTGTGAGAGACCCACTCGTGCTGCAACCTGGCCTGCGTTTCCGCGTGCTCCCTCTGGGCAAGTGCGTGCCTCCCCGTCAGAGCCTCCACCTGTACCACCAGCTCCTCAGCGTCCCCTCGGCTCACATCCAACGCCACGCGCGTCTCCTGCAGCCGCAGCGTCAGCTGATCCACCAGCCCCGACAGGCGCTCGCTAACAGACAAACATCCCCCGCATAGACTTCAAAAGACTGTTGGGGCAAGTGCTGTTCACGAGCACCTATGAAGCCGGCAAGGCACACAAGGCAGTGTTTTGGCCAGAATTACACCCGACCGTCTGTCTTCCGTGCTGTTAACACACCGCACAACATTTAATGCTGTGTCGATCTAGCGGAGGTGTCGGGACTGTTTTAGATATTTGTCACTGATGTTGGCCGTGAGCAGGAATAAAATTTGGGTCACCGGGTTTGTAGTGCAATGCGCCAAGCACAACGCTATCGCTCCTCACACACGAAGAACACACGTAACACACTTGCCAAACACAGGCAACACACACCACTCACACAGCACAGGCAGTTTCAAGGGTATTTTTTGTAACCAGGTCCACATGATAAGCCACTTCGTTGAGCTATCTTGCTGTACTGTTTTCTCCTGGCGAGCCAGGGTTATGGATGCTCCTCCTCGACACCCACGGGAAGGGAGTTCAACAAACATCTCTGCGTGTGATCCACCAACCCTCAGTGCCTCCACAGTTCTGGATTCAGGCTACATGGGTGGCTACCACCACAGACCGTCTCTGCTTCTGAAAAAGAGCTATGTAGCTCAGTGGGCCTTACCTGGTAAAATAACGTTGGGTTTAGTTTTGCTGTATTTCGCTTTGGTGTTCAGTAAATACTACACTAAAAACTGCCGTCTCCTTCGGTGTCCAATCTGTCACTGATACAAAAATAAGATTTTCTGCCTCACTACACATTCTCCCAGTACTCTTCATTTCCCCGTAGGTGACCGGATTTATACTCTCAGGACAGTGCAATTGAACTTGTGCCCTAAAGTTAAGCCAAACTACTCAATAAATGAAACTTGAAACTTGAATTACGGATTACACATCACAATCGTCGCCCCCTAGTGACAGGCTATCAATTGCTTGTAGGTCAGGTGCTGAGTCACCTTACCCTGCATAGGGACAGCTGCCACTTGGGGGTGCCCTTCAAAACCACAGAAATACCTGAGTTGTCATGTGATGCGAGTCTCTTAGCACTTGTATGCACGTAAGCATGTTGGACTTTTATCACACCGTGCGTAGCTAACCGTCCTTATCGGCGTAAAAGGAGGGTGCGCTCCATTCGAAAAACCAAACCGCGACCAGGGAATGCCTCACCTCTCTTTCTCAGCCAAGTCGGTTGGGGCGACGGCGGGCGAGCGAGACTTCTGCTGTTTGAAGACACTGTGCACGCGCACCTTGTAAGCCTCAAACTCGGCACGCACCGACTTCAACTCCGCCTGGGAGATGCGGCGGGGAGGTGCAGGGGAGACACGGAGAAACACGGGGAGGTGCAGAAGACATGGGGAGATGGGGGGAGACGCAGGGAAATGGGGGGAGGTGCAAAGAGACACAGGGAGGCACGGGGAGACGCGGAGAGATGCGGGGAGGTGCGGGAAGACACGGGAAGGCAATGGTTGATACAGGGAGACAAGAAGATACGCGGGGGGGGGGGGGGGGGGTGCATGGGGAGGAGTGAGAGACAAGGAGACAGAGGTGGACAGACAGGAAGACACATCGAGACATGAGTGTTAATAGCAATAGCCACAAGCATAGTCGCCTGTGCAAACCAGAGAGAACACACACAAGACAGTGCACAAACCATACAAGCAAGACAGAAAAATGTTTACGTTTCACAATATTAATGAGATAATACAAGTGAGATGGAACAGGACTGTAAAAAAAAACGAAATACAACACGGCAACATGATGAAAACCACAAACTAGACACACAAGACAGGAAAACAATACATAAAATAAATTATACACGATGATTGAGACAACGCAAATGAGATGGCACAAACAAGACAATGCAAATAAGACTGTACAAACGAGACGAAGCCAATCAGACTGTACAAACGAGACAATGCAAATCAGACTGTACAGACAAAAAAATAAACGATTCATGTCCCATGTCTACACGTTGCGATGGCTCGTCAAGGCTCGTCAAACCGCAAGGCAAGAGCGCGGATAAATGCCCCCTCTCGCTCCCCCTCCGACCTTTGCCCGAAGCTCTGAACCTGCGCGCTCGTAGCCACCGACCTTGGTGGAGGAGCATGCCTCCTCCAGCACGGCGGCCCTGAGCGTGAGCGCCGTCACGGCGGCCTGGTGCTGCAGGGCGGCCACGCGGGACTGCTCCTGGCAGCGGTGCTTCTCCCCGCTCACCTCCGCCAGCAGCAGCTGGGGGATCGGCAACGTCCACGCGGTGTGTCACGTCATCGCACTCGACATCCATGTCTTTTAGCGCATGAGTACAACAGTCACCCGATAACCGTTTCATGTTTCTGTAACTTAATTGTAATTAAATTGCAGTTATTTTTATTTTAGCAGTTAAGGCTCACTGAGCAATATAGCTCTTTTTCAGAAGTAACCTGGCCACAAATGATAGCTCAAAGAGGTGGCTTATCACGTTGAAATTTAGAGCAGCCAAAATATATATATATTTGCAAGTGTGGAGGGAAAAACCGGAGGACCCCGAGAAAAACCCACGCGACCACAGGGACAATCTGCAAACTTCAAATATGCGGCAGGTGTTGGGATGGAACCCACTACTTCCTGTATACCAGGCAAGGTAGTTAACATCTCGCCACAATTGTTACAATGATCAGTCTGACAATAATCTGCCCGTGTCGACTCACGTTACAGGAAATTCAATGCACAACACCGATTTATGTGTGAATAATTTTTTCTTCAGGATACACAGCTCTTGTTGCTTTTATTTCTATTTGCTAGAAATGTGGCAAATTAAAATGTCATTACTCTGCTTCCATAACGGATTTAAGACAATACACTGAGCAAAAAGTTAGGAGAGACCACTCTTACGTCGAATGTCAAAGTAAAAATAAATAAGCATAACAACATAAATAATTATACTAATATGAATTACAACAATGATATACGGATTACTCTTTGGTTCTTTCGGTAAAGTCACGTAGAAAATAAATAAATAAATTTTATAACAGACTACGACGTTTCGATTGCAACACAAGCAACCGTCATCAGGTAGAACTAAATTTGACAGAGACAAAACACAGACACGGAGACACACAGACATACACACAAGCAGGGGGGGGCAGAGAGAGAGGTAGGTCTGCTGGAGCAGCTGCTGGAGCAGAGAAATACGCATGACATATCTGTGTCTATGTTGTGTGTCTCTGTGTTGTCTCTCTCTCTGCTTGTGTGTCTCTCTGTGTGTCTCCGTGTTTGTGTTTTGTCTCTCTCGCAAATTTAGTTATACCTGATGACAGTTGTTGAGTATTTAAGTTTGTTTTCTCTCTGTGTGTCTCTGTCAAATTTCACACTTAACTTCAAATTTAGCAATCTTTGGAGATCGTAATTCACCAGTTTATGCGTTAACTGTGTTAGCCGACTCTCTGTGTTGCGTTGCATTGCATTACATTTCCCAAAAAATTGCTACATTTTGTTTTCCAAAACGGCCTATTTCTCTCTCTAAAATTTACCAGGCTCTCAAAGGTCCATTCGCTCTTTCTCTCCCTCGGTCGCTTCGGGGTGAATTTCCACACAACTCTCTCTAAAATGTACCAGTCTTGTTGGGTCTTTCATTGACATGCTTATTTCTCTGCTCCAGCAGGTGCTCCAGCAAACCCACCTCTCTCTCTGTCCCCCCCTCTCTCTATTTAAGGCCTCGACACAGAGGCATTGGGTCTCTGTGTGTCTATGTTGTGTGTCACTGTTTTGTCTCTCTCTGCTTGTGTGTCTGTCTGTGTGTCGCCGTGCCTGTGTTTTGTCTCTGTCAAATTTAGTTCTACCTGATGACAGTTGCTTGTGTTGCAATCGAAACATTGTATTCTATTATTAATTTATCTTCTTTCTACCTGACTTTACCGAAAGAACCAATGAGTAATTCCTGCAGTCATGAAAGCTTCAAATAAAGTTTAATATACGGATATAATCAACATTACAAACATAAATATACATCTCTCGGCCACAGGCGAGCTGAAGTAGTACATCCAGCGATGACTTCTTGGCACCCAACAAAATAGAAATTAATACTTTAATTTTGTAAGTGGAGGGACAGATATGTGAAGGAGGCATATTGTCTGCTTATTTTGTTACTTTAAATTCTACACAATGACACCAATGATCAGTCCCCGAATAAAGTTACAAATGAAGAAAAGAAGGAACGGGTGACAGGATCAATACCTTTTGTTCTTCCATCTGTTGCTGGGCTTGCTCCAACTGAGACTGTGAGGTGTCGAGAATGGCCTGCTGCTCGGCTTCCTGGTGACAAAGTGATATTTAAACGATGCGGGGTTAGCGACTCGGCCACAACCCATCATTACTATGAAGAAAATAGTGATGAGCTCACATTGCACGGCTATTATGAACCCCAAGAATGAGATGGACACCCAACCATAATTTTCCAGTGGTTGGCAGCTCATTGCGCGTGTGAGCTTTCTCCGCATGCACCAGTTTCCTCCCACGTGTATAAACGTTATTTCCATATTTTCTACAATGATCGTTGTTTACCTGGGAAAGTTTAACTGAATCTCACATAACTCTTATTTCAGGGGGGTCCAGCCAAAGTCTTTGAAATAGAGGGGAAAGATTGTGCACCTCCGATGAGCGTGGTTGGCTACGTACCATGCCAAAGAAGTTCAACATACATACAACATACAAAGGTTGCTAGTTAAATCACAACTGGATAATTTTAAGGTAATTTTGGATCATAAAGCTGGCACACAATGGCCTACTCTTGCCACGATGGACCTTAAAGATCTCGGGAGGTATAAACTCATTGTGTGCCATGTCACCACTCATGAATAGAGTTTACATACGTCCCAATATAGGACCGCAGAGCTTGGAAGACTGTTGGTACCAGTTCTGGCTGGCTTCCCACCTATCTGTGGTCTACTGCGCCTCCATGTGAAATCTGTGCGCGTTACAAATTCTACGGCAGTGTTTGATTTGCACTTTGCATGAATGAACGCTGTGATATATAAAAATAAGGCATTATTATTGCCTCTCCCATGGCCGTTATGAGAGCCTGGTTTAGTCAAATTTTAACCCGAATTGGCCATTATAAGCCTGCTGAGCCACTTGGCCACCTCTCATTGTTTGATTCAAGCGCTCAGATTTTATTCCAATTGTTTTTGCTTGGATTAATGTTTGATTCATTGTTGTACTTGTTTTTTTCATGTAATTTTTTTGTCATTTTGGTGACATAAGGGTCTGAGTACAGAAAATATGCGTAAAATCCGACAGATAGCGATTGTCGTAGGATCTAAAATGGTCTCGGTTAAAATGTCAACTACTTGCACACATTCCTAGTGACATAACAACGCTGCGTGAGTTGCATATGTCGCTCAAGATCGCATCATCGCTTCCACTGCACCAGCCAATCAGTTGCAAGGCTTCAGACAGGCAGCTGCAAAATGACAGCCAATTGGCTGCAAGGTTAATTACAGTTTGGTGCTGAGCAAGAGTGAACTTTGCAGATGAGCAGTAGACACGCAAGTTTATTGTGGGTGTCCACCTCCGTGAATAAAACTCTTCATGGCAGCAGCAGGAGGCGCCACGCAAGAAAGAAGCAGGCATGGGCAGCAGTATCCGCACACAGCTTCGAGAGTGAGCTGCGTGCGTCTATGTCGCTCCATGTCAGAGATAAGTACGGCGGTTATAACAGTTTATCATAGCATTATAAATAATGCTCAAGTTATGGGCATTAATGCTCATGGATACCGGACCCCTCCACTTTGTGCAACGCGAGTGTGATTTTGAGTGCTTTTATGTGTGCGAGTGCAAGGTGAGTCTACGTATATGTAATCGAACGTTGTTACATTGCATTGGATTGTCTTTATGTGTGTGTGGGGAGAAGTGGCACAGTAGTTAGCACACTGTACTACAGACCTGGCAACCTGAGTTCGATTCCTGCTTACGGTCAACACCAGTGACGATTTTTTTTCACTGGTCCTGGGCTTCCAATAGATCAACTCAGTCTAAATGAGTACCTGATGCGGTGTCAAAAAAAATTCACTGGGGAGACAAAAGAAGCCGGGCATGGGGCCACCCACCCCTCGTGTGCCGGCCTTCACAGATGCTTGCTAACAGCACTTGCCCCAACAGTCTGTTAAGACTAGAGGGGGAACTTTGCATTTTTGTGTTTGATTGAGAAGGAGTGTGGCTGTGTGGGGAAGTATTTGTATGTGATTGTGCACATACTCTTAGGTCTTTTCGGCAAAGTCACGTAGGTAAAAATAAAAAATAAAAGTAAATAATACAGAAAATAATACAGTAAATTTTAGCTGCGACGGTCCCACCTGATGACGGAGACTTGTGTTGCCTCCGAAACGTCGTGATTTATTCTTTTATTTCTATTATTATTTCTATGATTTTTATTATTTACTTTTATTTTTTATTTACCTACGTGACTTCACCGAAAAAACCTAAGAGTATCAATCCTTGCAGTGTATGTAGTCGACTCAGGCTGAAATTAGTACCTGCTGCAATATAAACATCTCCACGAAGGAGACAAAGGTGTGGTGCTGGCCACAAACTCCCTCATGTCATGCCGGTCGTCATGGGTGCTACTCGCGAACAGCACTTTCCCCAACAATGTCTGTTTGTCTTTGTGTAGGCGTGTGCCTCTGCGTGTATGCGTGTGTGACAGTGTGCGTGTTTTGTGTGTATGGAAACGGGTAACGGTTTACTTAACCAAAACCTCCTCCTGAGTAGCCGTACAATCAGACAACCCAAACCGTCAGCAATCACACGTAGGATCCCAGTCAAAGTAAGTATTGCCTATTGAATTTAAACATTTATATAAACAATACCCATCTTCTATCTAAATATATAAAAGTCAAAAATTGTCTGTTTGTCGGTTTGTGTGTGTTCGCACGGTGAGGTATACGTTAAATAAACATAGCCAGGTACGACGCCGTAAGCCCCGCCGTGAGCAAGCGCTATTCCTTTTTCACATCTGTCAACTTTTAATTAGTTTAATTAGCGATTTAGTGCGATTTTTGTTGCGCTATCTATTTATTTATTTACTAGCGGTAAGTACCTGGCGTTTCCCAGGTGAAAAAGACAAGACACACACATCGACCTACACACACAGACATTGACCCACACACACAAAGACATCAACTTACACACACACACATATGGACTCACACACACAGACATCGACTTTAGATACACACACACATGGAGTTACACACACAAATCGATGTACACACATACAGCGACTCAAACACACACAGACATCGACCTACACACATATATGGACTTACACACACACATATCGACTAAGACACACACACATGGAGCCACGCACACACATGGACTTACACAACAACAACAACCGCCATTGGCCACTAAGTGGTGGTGACGTCACCATGACGCTTGTGCCAGGCCAAGTGCACCTTGAGGCCACGTGAAGTGTCGAACGCCGGCTGGCAGGAAGTCACGGGGCAGACCCAGGTGCCACGGGTTAACTGACTGAGATGACCGAGATGACTGGCTGATGCACCACCTGTGCCCCCTACTGTGCCAACTTGCTGCGCTTTAGCCACCCGACGCTCCGCTCGTTGTTGTGAGCGTCGCTCCTCCGCCCTCCGTTGTTTTAGGAGGGCGACTGCCTCCAACTGCCCAGTAGCGTCCTTCACGAGCCTCCTCCAGAGGCCGATCTTGACACCGCTGGTACCAGTCATCGGCAAGTCCACTCAGCTCCACGTCCTCCTCTACCACATCACTCCATCTCTTCTTTAGCCCGTGCCGTGCCCGTTTAGCCCCCTCGATCCGGCCGAACAAAAGCTGTTTAGGCATGTGGTGGCTGGGCATGCGGGCTACATGACCCAGCCAAAACAGCCTTGCCTGCCGGAGGAGCTCACCGATGGGACTGTGCCCAGATTTTTCAAGGATTTGTGAGCTCCTCACACAATCCAGCCTGGTTAAACCCAGGATGGATTGTGGGCAGGCCATCCTAAATGTTTCTAACCAGCGAAGATGCTCCATTACGGGGGTCCACGTTTTGCAAGCGTAGAGGAGGGAATGACCGTGGCCGAGAAGACCTGAAGCTTCGTGCGGAGCAACAGACTAGGTAGCTTCCACACAGCGTGTGGAAGCTATGATGAAAAGATATTGCTGCTCGACTGATTCGGAGTGAGACCTCTGCTGTTAAACTGGAGCCGGTCATAAGCACACTGCCCAGGTATGGGAAGCTCTCCACTCTCTCCACAACTGCCCCATCACCGATTGGGAGTTGTGGGGGTGGAGTGTCCGATGGTACAAATTACCCAGGCAGGTGCTTAGTTTTGGTGGGGCTGATGGTAACACACACATAGCGACTGACATGCACACTTGGACTTGCACACACACGTCGACGCACACACATAGATATCTGGCGTTGCCCTGGCAAAAAGACACAGGCACACATCATGGTGGTACCTGCTATGATTACATCAGTGCATACTGTGGTGGTACCTATGATAACAGCAGTGCATACTGACTGCGGTGGTACCTGCTATGATTACAGCAGTGAATACTGTGGTGGTACCTACTTTCACTACAGCAGTGCATACCGACTGTGGTGGTACCTATGATTACAGCAGTGTATACTGTAGTGGTACCTGCTTTCACAACAGCAGTGCATACTGACTGTGATGGGACTTGCTATGATTAAAACAGTGCATACTGTGTCGTGGTACCTGCTATCACTAAAGTCGTACATGCTGACTCTATAGCAGTAAATATCTGCTGTTTAGCACAGAGTACTCACCTGACAGAGTGCCGTGGTAAGGCCTAGTCCCGTGCAGAGCCCCCGGCCTCGCCTAGATTGCCCTGCCGGCCGAGGCTAGGCCGCTACCCCCCCCCCCCCCCCCCGCGCTACAATAATACTGTCTAAGCGCTATAATTTTAGTATCTACCGACCCTATAATAGTAAGTGCACACATTGGGGTGGGGGGTGAGAGAAGAAGACATGACACTTTGATGAATTTACCTCAGCGTTGCGTGTATTTTTTTTGCATTTTGAACGCGAATGAGAAATCCCCCCCACCCTCCAGCTATGGCGTGTGTGCGTTGCCAGTGGCAACTCCTGTCAGCGTTTCATGCATGCGCAATAGTGTGCTTTGTCCCGCGCCTGGTGGCAAAAGGAAATCAATAAATAAAGGTAAATCGCACAAAAACTATATTTTAACTACTTTAAAGTTTACGGATGGTAAAACGGAATAGCCTATTCCCACCGTGGGGCTTAGGGTGTGCTGCATGCCAACTTTTTTTCGATATAAACCCCACCGTTAGAGAGCCAAAAATCCCTCGCAAGCGCGCGTACACAGACGGACAAATAGACAGGACAGACAGACAAAGAATGCCTTTTTTAGGTAAGATGATGTGTGCACGACCATACCAACTGACGTGCCTTTGGTGGGGGGGATGGCCCATGCCAAGTCGCATGCCTTCGGTGGGAGTGAGGGGACATTTTCTTTCTCGTTAGAAATGCTTGAAAAATACACTAAACGCTGAGCTTAAATCTTCACTGTGTGATGTCCCCCCGACCCCGATGGGTGCAGTTACTAATATATACAGTCGCTAGATGCTACCACTATAGTACGTAGATATTACTGCAGAGCGGCCGGGGAGATTGTGGCTGTGGAGGGGGTCAAGGGTAGCAGCCCAGCCCCAGCCTGCCAAGGTGCCACCTCGGCCGGCTGGACAATCTAGGCGAGGCCGGAGGCTCTGCACGGGACTAGGCCTCACCACACCACTCTGTCAGGTGAGTACTTTGTGCTATAGAGTCGATAAATACTGCTATAGAGTCAGTATGTACTACTGTAGTGATAGCAGGTACCACCACAGTCAGTACGCACTGCTGTTAGATTTTTAATAGTATTGAAATATTTTTTTGGCCCGGGCAATGCCGGGTATATAAGCTAGTTTTATATAAATACCTTCCACGGATATAAAGCTCGTCCCGACCACCCCTCTCTTAACTTACACTGTTTTCTTTGCATAACTATCTTAGGTAATCCGAGTTAAAATAAGTCTTATGCGATTTCCGATGCAATTTAGTTAAAAGCACGAGTAATTTTGTGTTGAAGCACCTGGTCTCAAGTGTTGTCACCTGGTTGAACACTATCCATTTGAAATCTGAATGCACGTACGGTTTTACGAGAATCCGCAAGTTCTTTCTTGATCTTGACAAGAAGCTGCTTCATCTTTCCGTTCCGCTCTTCCGATGCCTCCAGAGAAGCTTTTAGTGACTCTGTGGATATACACCTGTGCGTGAAATTGCGCATGGGCATGGGTCTGAGTGAATGTGTGTGCATGTACAAGTGAATGTGTATGTGTGTGTATGCATGTGTGGCGGCGGTATTGTAGCAGTTAGCGCACTACACTTCAAATCCAGCAGCCCGAGTTCGATTCCTGCTCACAGTCAACACCAGTGTCCATTATCTGAATCAGACCTGGCCCTCCCCTAGGTCGACTCAGCCTCAAATGAGTAACTGGAGCGATGTGTAAATATTGCCACTCGGGAGACAAAGGCGGCCGAGCATGGTGTGTGCCACCCACCCCTCGTGTGCTGTGCTGGCCTTCATAGGTGCTTGCTAACAGCACTTACTCCAACAGCCTATCAAGGCTATATGGGGATTTTTGTCTTTATACATCAGTATGCATGCAAGTGTGCAAGGGAGACAAGGTCAAAATAGGGAGACAAGATGGAACCATTCCCAAAACTGTATCTCCACGTAAAAATGATGGTATTTTGTACACATCCCATCAGTCGCATGGCCTTCTGCGAGTGCATGATTTCAGCAGCAATAGGACTAAATCTTGACTTAAAGCTTTCGTGACTGGAGGAATTCATATTCTTTGGGTCTTTTGGTAAAGCCACGTAGATAGAAAAAAATTGACTAGTTCGACATTCAGTCTTATCAGCAGTCATGCTTTGCTTGAATCAATGCTGGTGAACTGCTAGATGATTATTGGCAAGGACCCACTCTGTTAGATAGTGGTCCTAGTTCAATACAAATGTTGCATTTACTGCTCAACCAGGAATGAGGGCAGTGCTCATCCCTGGTTTTCCCTGGGTGTCTCCCTGTGTCTAACACCTCCTCGTCTTATTTCCACATACATTTTTCATCTCCCTATGGTTCATGTTTCCCTGTGTCTCCTCCTACAACACGCCCGAGTTGCAGGAGGTCGTGGGTTCGATCCCGACCATGACGCCTGTATATCTGGAGTTTGTCTCTCTCCCCATGGTCGGGTGGATTTTTCTCCGGGTCCTTTGGTTTCTCCCTCCACATTTAGAAACATGTGTTTAGAGTATTTGGCTCAACGAAATGGCTCATGTGATGAGCCATTTTCTGTGGCCAGATAGCTTCTGAATAAGAGCTATATAGCTCAGTGGGCCTTATCTCGTAAAATAAAAATAGTGAAAAAGTTATAATGTCCCTGTCTTGACTCTCATTTTTTCCCATGACTTGTGTCTTTCTCTGCTCCGCTCCTTGTTTTGTGTTTCCCTCTCAACCATCACATCCCTTCCTCCCTCCTTCTCCCCCCGCTCTCTCCCACCGTGGTCGGCCCTCATGGTGGTGGCGGTGGCTCCGTGGGTCTCCGCGAGGTCTCTCATGGCGGCAATGGTGGCGTCTCGCTCGGCAAGGCGCGAGCGCAGGTCGGAACTTGCTCGCTCCAGGTCCCCCACCTCCAATGCCAGCAGTTCGCCCCGGCGAGCCTCCTTGCGACTCTCCTCCAGCTCCCGGCGACTCTCCTCCAGCTCCCGGCGACTCTCCTCCAGCTCCCGGCGACTCTCCTCCAGCTCCCGGTGGGCAGCCTGGGATTCCTGCAGGCAAATACGTGTGCACTTAACTTGCGTCTAATCTACGTTGTGTTCAACCAAGGTCATAAAAACGGCCGCCATTCGTCACTAGGTGGCCACCAAAGCTCTTGTGCCAGGCTAGGTGCATGTTGAAGTCACGTGAAGTGTCGAAGGCTCGCTGCGGACAGGTCACTGGACTGCGTAAATATAAAAATGCGTCGTTAAAACCCGCCACCACCCGACACAGCCAACTAGTAAGGGTTGTCACGTAAAAAGAACATGTAAATGTTGTGGCTTGGCTCTCCAACACACCGGTGTGCTGTACTAGTGACGAATTGGCATGTTCTGTTTACATGACAACCCTTACTAGCTGGCTATATTTACGGATCTAACCCAAAAACCTCTATTATAGACCCAGGTACCATGGGTTGACTGACTGAGATGACTGGCAGATACACCAGCTGTGCTCTCCACTGTGCCAACTCGCTGTGTTTTAGCCATCCAGGGCTCCGCTCATTGATGTGGGAATCGTTCCTCTTTCCTTTTTTTTTGTTGTTGGGAGCATCCATCACGAGCCTACTCCAAAGAGGCCGTTTTTGATACAAAAAATCGGACTCTTTGGTATCAGTCTTCAGCAAGTCCACTCAGCTCCACATCATCCTGTACCACATTAAACCACCTGTTGTGCAGCATGTGCCTTGCCCGTTTAGCCGCCTCCAAGTGGCTAAACAGAAGCTGCTTGGGCATGCGGTGGCTGGTCACTAACCCATTCACACACTAACCTATCACTCACTCACCCACTCAATCACCACACTGATTGAAGTTCACAACACCCACTCACTCACCACACTGTCGGTCATAACACACTTACAAACCCACTCACTAACTCACCACACATAAGTTCGCAAATCTTCTCTTTCTGCTCCATTTTGGAATTTCCTTTTCCAAAGCTCTTATAACCTGGCTCAATAAAAAATATATACTGACTCGTATCTATTACAACTTGATATTGCTGTTGTCACTGGCCGTTTGACATTTTGGGACTGTGCTCAGCCACCGTGTAAAAAAATACCAGCAACTACCACAATTTGCCACTAAGTGGCGGTGTCATCACAACAGTTTGCAATGACTGTACAGATTGGAACGAGTGAGAGTGAATGTACAAACAGCACAACGGCCTAAGTCAGCCATTGCGTGTCGCTCTTCTGTCCACCACTACCGTCATCGTCGTCGCCACGCTCACCGTGGCCGTGTGCTGGTGGAGGCTGCGCTCAGCATTGAGCCCCTTCTGAGCCTCCGCCAGTGCTGCCGTCATTCTCCGCACCGTGGCCTCGGCCAGGTTCAGGCGGCCGGCGATGGCCTCCCTCTCCGCACGCACAGACTCGTACTGATGCACGCACGCATATGGGGGAGGGGGGCATCATCGTCCGTCGTCCGTCAGGGCCCGGGGGCCACTCGCCGCATGCCGCGTGAGTCGTGGCAGATCAATGCTGTTGAAGCAACGAGCGTAACTGTACGAGCTTAGGAAAAGACGTGATGCGAGGGAGAATTTCAAAGCTGAGCACCACGTGCGGAAAGAAGCCAAAAGAGTAAGTGTTGTGACCTGTAGTGTGGTGGTGTAGTGGTGGTGCACCCGGCCTGGCACAGGCGCCGTGGTGACGTCACCGTCACTTAGTGGCAATGGTGGATATTGGTATTGGTGGTTAAACATAGTGAGGTGGAGAAGAAACAGTCAGTACCTGGGCTTAGATCGAGCTCTCAAATTGAGTAGATGAATCAATGAGGGAGGGTCAGGGGAACAGTAACCATGGTAGTGATAGCTGCAGCAGGGTGATGAGGAGGTAACCGACGGCTGGTGAGAACGTAGCTAATTAGTGAGTGCTGGATCATCAAAAAGCCTGGGTCGGTGGAAGCGGCAAGCATAGACGTTTTAGCATAGGACTGTATAACAATAGCATTTGCCGCACTGCCCTCTGCTAACACAGAGCCCCGCACCAGCCTATTACACTTTTTACGCAAGGTGGTGACCCATCAAAGCACGATCCAGGGTCAGTCCCGCTAATATTCCGAGATAAGACGAATATTGATGAATTCCATGCAATGTGTTCAAAGTCAACTAATAATAATATTGTTATTGTTATTTAGCGGCGTCATTGATTAAAATTGCAGATCAAAACGCCGCTGTATAAAATTTGTAACGTGGCAGTTTTCACACCGAGGAAACCACGGAACAGCGAGAAGGCAGGCAGGGCCAGCGCAAACAGTTGCTCCAAGCTCTGCGGTCCAATACGTGTGGCCAAATCCATTAACAAGTGTACAGAGTTGTGCCCTGGAGAATACCCCACGTGCAAGGGAAGTAATCCTCAATCGCCATACAGGAGGAATACGGATGGAAAGGCATCCACCTGCTGCACTGCCATCATGCCCTGGCAAGCCAGGAGACGACAACAACGATGCACACCGGCAGGGAGGGAGTTGTGATCGACAACCCTTGCTGCCTGCTGCAGTGCTGGGTTACAAGGCCAAGTGCAGCAGAGCCACCAGTCCCAGTTCCTTTTGCAATGATCACTGTTGTAGCGCACGTGTGTGTGTGGCGCGAGATTACCTCCTGCGTACTGCCCTGAAGACTTCTGCAAAGTTGTTCGATCCTCTTGTCTGCAGCTTTCGATTTCTCTCTCTCTTCATCAAGACTCCTGGCCAGCTTCTCAAACTCCACCTGCAGGCTCTGCACAGTTTCCAACAAAGCTAAGAGGCTAAAGAACTCTGAGCTGGATTCTTAACCAGGGGAGGTTCATCGCTTAAGAGTTTGAAGGTTAAACACTATCAGTCTAACACGTTTTTGAAACTTGTAACAACGCAGTGCGGCCTCCACCGCCACCTAGAGCATGTGGCTCACAGCGCACGCACCCGCAAAGGAGGTGGCCGCATGTTCTGTAGCTGGGTATAGCTACAAAGAAAAAGATCCCCCGTATAGCCTTAATAGACTGTTGGGGAAAGTGGTGTTAGCAAGTTGCACCTATGAAGGCTGCCACAGCACATGTGGGAGTGGGTAGCCAGCATCACGTCCGGCCACCTTTGACTCCCAGTGCCGATGTCTACACACTGCACCAGTTACTCATTTAAGGCTGAGTTGGCCTAGGGTAGGCTCAGGACCGGTTCAGATAGTTCAGACAATAGTATAGTTTAGTTCTTAGCTATAATAGAAATTCGTCACCAATGTTGGCCATGAGCAGAAATAAAACTCAGGTTGTCAGGTTCGTAGTGCAGTGCACTAACCATGACACCACCACTCAGTGTGTGTGTGTAGAGTATATGCAAACACTCACCTTGAAGCTGTTGGTCTCCTGAGTGAGCTCCGCGAGGGAGCCCAGGGCTGAGGCTCTCTCCGCACGCACAGACGCCAACTCCTCTGTCAGCTGCTGAACCTACCGGTCATCATCATCATCACGACTAGCAACATCACCTTTATCACTATCACCACCACCACCATCATCATCAATAGAAATGTCACTAATCACTAACATCACCATGAGTACCAATCATCACCACCACCATGATCATCACCAAATAAAAAAATCCCCCGTATAGCCTTAACAGACTTTTGGGACAAGTGCGGTTAGAGAGCACCTCTGAAGGCTGGTACGGCACATGAGAGGGTGGGTGGCCAGCACCACGCCCGACCGCCTTTGTCTCCCTATTGCCGATGTTTTTACACACCACACCAGGTACTCATTTTAGGCTGAGTCGACCTAGGGGAGGCCCAGGACATGTTCAGATAATCGTAACAGGTTTTGGCTGCGAGTGGGTATAGAACTCGGGTGGCCGGGTTCGTAGCGCAGTGTGCTAAACCGCTTCACCACCGCTCTCCACAATCATCACCACCATTATTGTCTCCATATAATCAACACCGGAAAAAATGATGACAGTGGTCCGAGTCATCCATCATGACCATCTTTTATATTTCACCTGGAAAATCCCGAGATGGAACGCCTCTTTCACAAGGGTGTCCAGGGTGTCGATTACCACACACATGGCAATCTCCACCATCACTCGTCACACAGAGTGCATCGATTTGTACCTGTTTACGACATATGTCGAGTTCTCTCCGCGCTTTCACAGCCACCGCCTTCATCTTGTTCATCTTCTCCTCGCCCTCACGCAGAGCAACTGCCGCCGATAACACACAATGCAGCTAAACACTGAGCTCTTTTTCAGAAGCGACCTGGCCATATATGATAGCTCAAGGAAGTGGCTTATTATCATGTGGAAATTTATAGCAGCCAAATACTCAAACCGCGTGACGTTGATTGTAAATGTGGAGGGAAAAACCGGAGGACCCGGAGAAAAATCCACACGATCATAAGAGAGAGACATGCAAACTCCAAATATACAGGCATAAGGGTCGGGATCGAAGCCACGACTTCTTATATACCAGGCGAGCTAGTTAGCATCTCGCCACCGCAGCGCCCTCTTAAGACAGCAGGGTGGCAGCGCTGTGGTAACACGTTGTGCCTCACAGTAAGAAGGTCCGGGTTCAATTCCCAACTCGGGCACCTTTCTCTGTGGAGCCTGTATGTTCTCCCCCTGTTCTGCAGATTGGGTTAGTGACTGTGAGGTGTCTGCATGTTCTTCCACTGCTCTGCATTGGTTTCCTCCAGCTTGTCCGGTTTCCTCCCATAGCAAAAAAACAAACATAACTGCTACTACTGCTAAGCTACCCGTGGAAAAATGATAGTTGCCTCAGAAACTTAGAGTTAGTGGTTTTATTATCCTTTGTTTAATGAATGGTCTTAAAACTACGGTTTTTGTAATACAGGAAGGGTTGAAAACTAATTTATTTTTAACTGCTTAATTTGTTGTCCTTTCCCCCGACACCTCTGATTAGGGTGGTTGGCTACTTTTGGTGCTAAATAAGTTCAACAAACATACATGGCTAAACAGACCAATCCAGATACTTTCGCAGTGACCGCAGGGCTAAGCGGACGAGTGATCTTCATCCCTAGCAGTAGAACGTCCCTGTCTCTCTCTCGGGTGCTATGAAGGCAGCGACCCCGATCCAGCCGCCATGACTACAAAAGATTTGAAGACAGTAGTTGTTCGAGATTTACGATTATGCTGTAAATCCCTTTCACGAATCAGCCCCCAAATGTAGTCTCCAATCATGTTCTCGTTATACTGTCCTTGGTAGCGGTGTTCAAATTCCAGTATATCCTGGTGGAAGTGCTCGCCTTGCTCCTCCGAGTACGCTCCCATGTTCTCCTTGAATTTATCAAGATGAGCATCAAGTATATGGACTTTGAGGGACATCTTACAGCTCACTGTGCTCTAGTTCTTCACCAGTCCCAACCAGCTCCATAGTTTTCGACCTTGTGATTGCACAGGAAGCCACAAACCACTGCGACAAAGCTGTTCCAAGCCGCTTTCTCCTTACTACTGAGCTTCTTTAGGAATTCATTGCACTCCAGGATCTTGACATTGTTTCTCCTCACAGAGAAGTCGGTCCTGCTATGGCCAGTCCCAACTGTGGTAGTGCGCCTTGGTTTCTAAATCTTTTGAAGTAATGTTTGTATTACTTTAGTATAAATACATGTTAATTTTGATCTATATGTTTTTTTTTCTGACTTCATGCAAATGAAAATACACAAATTCGCCTGTTTTCTCATTGAAAATAGGTAAATTTAAAAATATGATTGTCCTGGTCACAAAAGCAAAGTTTGTGTAGAATAATAGTCATTTTCTGTACATTGGAGGCATAAGGCAATTATGAAATAAAACTGACTACCAAGGAACACAAAAATAAATAAAAAATTGTTACAGTGTAATTAATGCACCATACCTATTTGTGAGCGAAGTTCCTCCACCTCTGTTGAGGCCACAGAGCCAGTAGCTCCTAGTCCCACCACATGCTCCTCCTCCGCCTCCTTCTCCTCAACCTTGTCCTCCTCCAGCAGCCGTCTCATTTCTCCACACAGCAGCCCGCTGGTATCAACAGCCACTTCCAGCGTCTCTCTCAACCTGCTCGCAGCATCCATCGTCCGATCCCGCCACTTGCTCTGCAATGTCCGGTTTGCAGCCTCCTCCTGCTCGCCATCGCCTTCGCCCGGGGGCTCTTCATCCTGCTCCATCTCACGGAGGAGAACCTGCAGCTGGCTTGCCATGTGGGTTAGACGTTCTTGGTTCTTTTCTGCTTCTGAGGCACAGTGGTGCAGCAAAATGGCCCGAATGCCACGCAGGCTTCCCACTATGCTGCCCTCCCTATTATCAGAGATTCTCTCTTGATCTTCTTTGCTTCCCTCCTGATCCTGTGTGCTGCCCCCTCGATTCCCAGTGTTTGCCCTCACACTGGCCACGGTGCCCCACTCCACCTCCCTAGCGTGTAGCTGCGTGTCCTCACCCGTCATCTCCTGCACCTCTTCCCGCTCCACCACCACCTCCACCCCTTCCTTCTTCTCGGTCTTGTCATGATGGGACACAGCATGATCAACAACTACCGCTTGGACAGAATTCACATCTTTGACCTCTTCTGTGTGCGCCAAACTTATCCTCTTCACCTCGTCTTGATGACAAGACTTAAGGATTTCTACCTCTTTGCTGTGGTTACACCTCAGCTTTTCCATCTTTTCTTTGACAAGAGTTGTCTGCCCTTCCACCTCTACTTGGTGCTCATCATTTAGCCTCTGCACTACCTCGGCGTGATGGCACCGAAGACTTTCTAGCCGACTGTCATAATCGCATCTCAGCTGCCCCACCTCTTCTATGTGAAGATATTTCAGTCTCTCCACCTCTTCTTCATGATCAACCGTTATTTTGCCAACCTCATCCTTGTGATGAACTTTTAGCCTATACACCTCTTCACAGTGATTGGACTTCAGTTTCTCCACCTCTTCTCTATGAGCAGACACCAGATTTTCAACCTCTTGCAGATGACCTTCTCTCATTTTCTCTATCTCTTCACCGTGAAGGCCCTTCAGCTTCTCCACCTCTTCCTCAGGAAGTGTTTTCAGTTGTTCCAAATTATCTCTGTGAGCAGATGTTAGGCTGTCCACCACCTGGCAATGATCGGCTCTCATGTTTTCCATCTCTTCATTATGAAGAGCTTGCAGTTTCTCCACAGTGACTGAACCTTGCTCACATTGATTGCGCGTCAGTTGTTCCACCTCTTCTTTGTGAGCAGACACGAGTTCGTCAACCTCTTGCTGATGATCCGCTATTAATTTCTCCACCGCTTCACTTAGCTTCTCCACCTCTTCACAGTGGGCAGACTTGAGCGAATCTACCTTTTTATCAAAGTCAGACTTCAGTTGTTCCACATCTTCCCTGTGAGCAGATGTTAGACTGTCCACCTCCTGATGATGATCAGCTCTCATTTTCCCCACCTCTTCATTGTTAAGGCACTTCAGATTCTCCAAATCTTCATCATAATATTTCTTCAGTTGATCCACCTCCTCTCTGTGAGCTGACGACAGATTTTCAATCTCGTGTTTATGATCGACTTTCAACCTTTCCACCTCTTCGCTGGACAGGCACTGCAGTCTCTCCACCTCTTCATAATTGGTAGACTTGAGCCTTTCCACCTCTTCACCATGATTAGACTTCAGTTGTTCCACCTCATCTATGTGAAGTGCTTTTAGCCTCTCCACCTCTTCATCTGGAACTGATGTCTGCTCTTGGACCTCTTCACACTGATCATTCTTCAGTCTCTCGATCTCTTCTGTATGCAGGGTCTTCATATTTTCCACCTCTTCACAGTAGTCAGACTTCAGTTGTTCCACCTCTTCCCTGTGAAAAGATGGTAGACTGTCCACCTCTTGATAATAATTGGCTCTCATCTTCTCCACCTCTTCACTGTGAAGGCACTTCAGCTTCTCTACCTTTTCACTAAAAAGTGACTGCAGCCTCTCCACCTCTTCACCATGATCAGACTTCAGTTGTTCCACCTCATCTCTGTGAAGTGCTTTCATCTTCTCCACCTCTTTACCCGGAACTGATTGCTGATGTTGATCGTCTTCACCACAATCACACTTCAGTTGTTCCACATATTTTGTGTGAGCAGATGTTAGATTTTCAACCTCTTGTTGATGAGTATATTTCAGTTTCTCCACCTCAACAGAGTGTTCCACCATCATCCTCTCCATCTCTTCAGAGTGAAGAGCATTCAATTTCTCCACCTCACTATGTGGAAGTGTCTTCAGCCTCTCCACCTCCTCACTGTGAATGATCTTCATCTGCTCCATCTCTTCAGAGTGATTAGACTTGAGTTTCTCCACCTCTTCAGCAATTTCTAGCTTTATCCTCTCCACCTCTTCATGTGGAAGTGACTTGAGCTTCTCCACTTCTTCCTTGTGGATGGTCATCATCCTTTCCACCTCTTCACAGTGAAGGGCATTCATCCTCTCCACCTCTTCATGTGGAAGTGACTTCAGCCTCTCTACCTCCTCACTGTGAAGGATCTTCATCTGCTTCATCTCTTCAGAGTGACTAGACTTGAGTTTATCCACCTCTTCATCAAATTCTAGCTTTATCCTCTCCACCTCTTCATGTGGAAGTGACTTAAGCTTCTCCACCTCTTCCTTGTGGAGGGCCACCATCCTCTCCACCTCTTCACAGTGCACAGCCTTCATTTTCTCAGCCTCTTCATTTGAAAGTGACCGAAGCTGCTCCACCTTTTCACAGTAAAGGGCCTTCGACCTCTCCACCTCTTCACAGTGTTGCACCTTAATAGTCTCAACCTCCTCATGTGTAAGCGACCTAAGCTTCTCCACCTCTTCACAGTGAAGGGCCTTCATCCTATCCAACTGATGCAAGAGCTCCAGGATTTTCGCTCTTGTCGCTCCCTCCTCCACCTCCGCCTCCACGTCGCCGCACTGCTCATACTCTGCCACCATCCTCTCCACGCTCCGCAGATTCTCCCGTCTTGGCTGCTCCATCTCCTCCTCCCTCTTCTCCACGGTGGCAGTGGCTCCCGCCCGCTGGCCTATCTCCAGCTCGGACGTGAGCCGTTCCACGTCGGCCTGTAGGCGCAGCGCGTGGGCGGCTGTCTCGGCGAGCCGCTCGCCCAGCTCTGCGGCGTGTGCCTCATGCAGGACGTCCTGCTCGTGGTGTCGTGAGCGGGCGCGCTCCAGCTCACGCTCCAGCCGCGCTGAGCCGGCCTACATGTGGGCGGGGGGGGGGGAGTGCAAGTGATTTGAGCAGAAAATCACTGACACTTAAATTTTTCTAAGAATCTGCTGTTATATTGCTGCTCTAAGGAGGGATATTGGTCATCGCAGTTGTGAAATCGCCCCACCCCAAGCCCTACTGTCCCCACTCACCATTACCTACTGCTGCACAGGTTCAGGGTGAATCCACACTACTTAAGTTCCAGGTTCAATCACTGATACTAGTAGAGTGTCTTTCAACGAAAATCCCCCTGAGATGCAGACACCAAGCACCAGGGATTTAATGATTCCATGCAGTCTATGTAGGGGAGGTTACAGAGCGCAGCGGTAGTGCATTCCTCTTGTTGCAGAGGTTCACGGTTAAAATCCGGCAGGCCGACCTGGCTATTGCTGCAGATGCTTTAACCATAAATGATATGCGCTGTATACTTCACGGTGGGTGTTCAAATCTCTTCATGTCCATCTAAATTAGGCCATTGTGTACCGGTGTCATGGTCCAAATTGACCAAATTCGACAAATGACTTGTGAATGAATCACTTGAGACACACAAGCGATCATTGCTCCCGACTGGCAGACTAATTCCTGCTTGCAGGCTGGTACCGAGTTACGGGGACACATCTGCCACTAGGGGTGCCCTTTAAAATGATGCGAGGTGAGATGTGATGCAAGTCGCTCATCACGTGTCAGGCAGTCTGAGCAGGGTGGCTCCATCAATCACACAGAGATCATTATTGTTAATAATAACACTATTGTTATTATTATTACCCAGCCACCTCCCAAAATAGATATTCCAGATTTCTTGGAATGTCAGCGAGAACACGTTTCCATAAGAAAGCTGTGACAATCCTGTGGGAGAGAGTGGGCATACCTTTGCATCCTTCAATTGCAGCTCAATTTCTGCCTTCTCATGCAGAACAGAGCTCACCTTCACGCTCAACTCCTGCACATACACAAACACAAAGGTTGCTGTTCGTGAGCACCTATAAAAAGGCCGGCACGGCACAAGAGGGGGTGGGTGGCCAGCACTATGCCTGGCTGCCTTTCTCTCCCGAGTGGCGATGTTTACACACCGCATCAGGTACTAATTTGAGGCCGAGTCGACCTAGGTGAGGCCCAGGACCAGTTCAGATAATCATAACTGGTGATGGCCGTGAGCTGGAATCGAAGTTGGGTCGCCGGGTTCGTAGCGCAGCGCTCTAACTGCTACACTACTGCTCTCCACATAAAATAGCAGCAGCAACAACAACCGCAATTTTCCGTAAGTGGAAGTGACGTTATCAAAGTGCCTGTGCAAAGCTAATTGCACTTTAAGGCCACGTGAAATGTCAAACGCCTGCTGGCAGGAGGTCATGGGACAGACACAGGTGCCCATGGGTCGACCAACTGAGATGACTGGCCGAAGCACACACACAAACACACACATAAACAACAAAGACACAGACCATGCACACACAAAAAACAAAAACACAGACCACGCACACACAAACAACAAACACACCCACCACACACACACAAACAACAAACACACCCACCACACACACACAAACAACAAACACACCCACCACACACACACAAACAACACCACAACAACAACCGCCATTCGCCACTAAGTGGCGGTGACGTCACCACGACGCTTGTGCCAGGCTATGTGCACCTTGAGGCCACGTGAAGTGTCGAACGCCTGCTGGCAGGAGGTCACGGGGCAGACCCAGGTGCCATGGGTCGATTGACTGAGACGACTGGCTGATGCACCACCTGTGCCCCCTACTGTGCCAACTTGCTGTGCTTTAGCCACCCGGTGCTCCTCCGCCCTCCGTTGTTATTGGAGGGCGACTGCCTCCAACTGCCCACGAGCCTCCTCCACAGAGGCCGATCTTGACACCGCTGGTACCAGTCATCAGCAAGTCCACTCAGCTCCACGTACTCCTCTACCACATCACTCCATCTCTTCTCTAGCCCATGCCGCGCTCGTTTAGTCCCCTAGATCTGGCCGAACAAAAGCTGTTTAGGCATGCGGTGGCTGGGCATGCGGGCTACATGACCCAGCAAACGCAGCCTTGCCTGCTGGAGCTCACCGATGGGACTTTGTCCACATTTTTCAAGGAATTGTGAGCTCCTCACACAATCCAGCCTGGTTAAACCCAGGATAGATGGTAGGCAGGCCAGCCTAAATGTTTCTAACCGGTGAAGATGTTCCATTAGGGGGGTTCATGTTTCGCAAGCGTAGAGAAGGGAGAGAATGACCGTGGCCGAGAAGACCTGGAGCTTCGTGCGGAACAAGACACAAGGTAGCTTCCACACAGCGTTACGGAACCGATGAAAAGATAATGCCGCTCGACTGATTCGGAGTGAATCCTCTGCTGTGAAACCGGAGCTGGTCATGAGCACACTGCTCAGGTAAGCGAAAGTTTCCACTCTCTCCACAACTGGTCCATCACCAATTGCGAGTTGTGAGGGTGGATTGTCCGATGGTAAGAAATACCCAGGCAGGTACTCTTTGGTTCTTTCGGTAAAGTCACGTAGAAGGGAAGTAATAAAATAATAAAAATAAAACATAATAAAATAATTCTCACGACGTTTCGGCCACAACGCAGGCAGCCGTCCTCAGGTGAAGAATGAAACACCACCAAGCTTGGGGCGTATATTTAAGCTGGGTTGGAGGGGGGGAGGTGGGAAGAAGAGCGCCTTGACAAAATAATTTGCATATCAAGAGGAATTTAGCATATGGAAAATGCGTAGGAGGTGGGCGGGGGGGGTTTCAAATTAATATTATGCCCGTGCATTATGCAGGATTAGCAGCATCAAAGGGAGGGGGAAGGGGGGTAGCATTAACAAAGGAAAGGAATGTTAATAGCATGCAGTTACTAAACAAGTATAAACTACATAAACAACTAAAGTATAAACTACATAGCATCATCAGTATACTTACTATACTCTACAATAAGCTGAGTTACTAACAGTAAGTAATACATTACAATTCTACGTCGTAAAAATTATATAATATGCTTCCATCTAAACTTTATTCTCTTAGTTTAACACGTAGGCTTTCGCGACCAATATTATTCATGTACTCAAATTGTAAATTGTTGTGGTTTCACGCTTCAACACACCGGTGGGCTAAAGCAGTGAACTAATTGTCTTTTGTCAACGTGACACTTTTTTACTGATTGGCCGTGTCGGGTGGTGGAGGGTTACGACACATTTATAAATAACGCGATCTAAACCCAAAAACGTTGATTATGAATTTATTCTCTTACATCACACGAGTCTACACCGTACTATATACTGCCATAGACAAACCCAACATTAAATTATATACTGTATTGCTATAAACCACCCTATACCTTATACATTTTAATACGTAGATGACACTTTTGGCATCTGGCCACATGGCCGGCCTGCTCTAGACCAATTCCTCGACCACATCAATTCCATACACCCAGCCATCAGATTCACCATGGAAGTCGAAAAAGATGGCAAGCTACCCTTTTTGGATGTCCTAATTCAAAGGAGACCTGATGGTTCAATGAGCCACTCTGTCTACAGGAAAGCCACCCATACGGATGCTTACCTAAAACCGGATTCCCACCACCATCCATCCCAGAAGAATTCCCTCATCAAGACTCTATACCATAGAGCCCAATGCATCTCCGACCAGGAACACATTGCCAGTGAACTCAAACACGTACGCCAAGCTCTTCAGGCTAATAGTTACTCCGACTACACAATCCGCAAAGGAATCACTCCAACCATCAAGAAGGATCCTGTTGAGGAGCCTTTCAAGACCATCACCTTACCCTACATTGCTGGGGTCACAAAAAAGATCTCCAAAATCCTGATTAAACACAAGATCCAGGTCCGATTCAACACGGTACATAAAATCCATGATCTGGTCCCGTCTGTAAAAGATGTGGTTCCAGACATACAATACCCTGGCGTCTACAAACTAAGTTGCCTCTGTGGTAGCAGTTACATTGGAGAAACCAAACGACATGTCTCGGACCGCATCTGTGAACATAAAGTAGACCTAAAACACGGTAGGACAAACACCTCAGCCGTGGCAGATCACTGTTACAACTCAGTGGGCTCACATGACATTGACTACTCCAAGACAGAGGTTCTCTGCAAGCCATCTGGCTATCATGAGAGATTCGTTCATGAGGCGATCCACATATACAAACACAGAGACAATTTCAACCGAGAAGATGAATTCTGGCTTAGCAATCATTGGAAGGACGTAATAAACCATTTCGGATCCTAACTGATTGTGTTCACGTTTACGGTGACTTTCAGACCGCGTTCCACTCACTGGCATTGTATTCTCCGTAGGGAATGGATTCTTTGCTCCGCTCAAAGTTTCCCCCCACGACTCACCCATTGACACGACAGTCAATGGTACAGTGTATAATAACAAATAGTATAACATTTATATGCTTAATACAATGTACAAAGTAATATATAGTATCGTAATTGTATAGTAAACATATAGCAGTGTGATACACATAAGGGTGGGTAGAATTATACATAGTGTTATATTAAAATGCATAAGGTGGTTTATAGCAATACAGTATATCATTTAATGTTGGGTTTGTCTATGGCAGTATATATTACAGTGTAGACTCGTGTGATGTAAGAGATAAAAGTTTAGATGGAAGCATATTATATAATTTTTACGACGTAGAATTGTAATGTATTACTTACTGTTAGTAACTCAGCTTATTGCAGAGTATAGTAAGTATACTGATGATGCTATGTAGTTTATACTTTAGTTGTTTATGTAGTTTATACTTTAGTTTTTTACGTGGTTGTTTAGTAACTGCAGCTACATACTATTAACATTCCTTTCCTTTGTTAATGCTACCCCCCTTCGCCCTCCCTTTGATGCTGCTAATCCTGCATAATGCACGGGCATAATATTAATTTGAAACCCCCCCGCCCACCTCGTACACATTTTCCATATGCTAAATTCCTCTTGATATGCAAATTATTTTGTCAAGGCGCTCTTCTTCCCACCTCCCCCCCTCCAACCCAGCTTAAATATACGCCCCAAGCTTGGTGGTGTTTCATTCTTCACCTGAGGAAAGCTGCCTGCGTTGTGGCCGAAACGTCGTGAGAATTATTTTATTATGTTTTATTTTTATTATTTTATTACTTCCCTTCTACGTGACTTTACCGAAAGAACCAAGAAGATGAATCCCTGCAGTCACGAAAGCTTTAAATCGAAATACAAGCTTCCTTCATCAGGTGTAAAAAAGGCACAGCAAAATAACTGTAGCAAGAGTTATTTGTGATGAGACATTGTTATATAGGGTAAGAGGAGGGAGAGGAGCCAAGGAGGACGGGCGCAGGATGGGGGGGGAGTGTGGGTGGAGCCAGGAATAGTGAAGCTGATACTAAACGATGGAGCCACGGATGGGGGAGGGGGGACGCAGAGCGGGGGAGAGTAGCGGTTGAGGTTTAACATGGTTAATCACATCTTTCCAATGATTGCTCAATTTGAATCCATCTTCTCGGTTGAAGTTATGTCTATGTTTGTATATCTGTATGGCCTCATGGACAAATCTTTGGTGGTATCCAGACCCGCTTGCAGAGTACCTTGATATCAGAGAAAACAATATCATGATCACCCACAGCGTTGTAACAATGATCAGCAACAGCCGAAGAATTTGTTCTGCCGTGTTTTAAATCTCATTTGTGCTTGCAAATTTGGTCCGAAATGTCGTTTCGTCTCCCCGATATAGCAGTCACCGCAGGTACAATTCAATTTGTAAATACCGGGGTACTGTAAGTCCGGAATGACATCCTTTACGGATGGGATCAGATCACGGATTTTGTGTACTGTATTGAACCGGACCTGGATCTTGTGTTTGTTTAGAAATCTTTTTGGTAATGCCTGCTATGTATGGCAGCGTGATGATTTTTATCGGAGTTTCAGGTGGTTGTTTCTGCATGGTGGGAGAAACAGCTCGGCGGATGGTATGGTCTGAGTATCCTTAAAACCCCCGGCTGCAAGACCTCCCAGATTCTATGGTCTTCCCAAGATCCATAAAGAAGGTACCCCACTACGGCCTATCGTGTCCACGATCAACTCTCCTACCTACAAGCTAGCCCGTTTTTTATCGGATACTCTGCTTCCCTTCACTGGCAAGACCACCTCAACAGTACTTAACTCAACCCAATTGGTTTATATGGTCAAGGACATTGTACTGTCTCCTGCCGATATCTTCGTCAGCTTTGATGTGGTCTCTCTGTTCATCAAGGTCCCAGTGCCTGACACCATAACAATAATTGAAGACTTGGTCCAACATGGACTGAACCCTGATGTACCTGCGCTGGTTAGGCACTTCATCACCAACACTTACTTTACCTGGAATGGTACCTTCTACAAACAAAATGAGGGTACCCCTATGGGTTCCCCCTTATCACCAGTGATAGCCAATGTTTTCATGAAGAAGTTTGAATCAGACGCTATCCAGACATCCACCCTTCGTCCTTCCCTGTGGAAGAGAATTGTGGATGATACTTTCGTCATTTGGCCACATGGCCTCCCAGCATTGAACCATTTCCTAGACCACATCAATTCTAGACACCCATCTATTATATTCACCATGGAAGTGGAGAAAGATGGCAACCTGCCATTCTTGGATGTTCTGTTTGAGAGGAGGCCTGATGGTTCTTTGGGACATTATGTTTACAGGAAGGTCACCCACACAGATTCCTACTTGAAGCCTGATTCCCACCACCACCCAGCTCAAAAGAATTCCCTCATCAAAACTCTATACCATAGGGCTCATTGCATCTCTGACCAACACCACCTGGCCAGTGAATTAAAACATGTACATCTGGTCCTCAAGATGAACGGATACTCAGAACGTACCATCCGCCAAGCTGTTTCTCCCACCATGCAGAAACAACCACCTGAAACTCCGATCAAAATCATCACGCTGCCATACATAGCAGGCGTTACCAAAAAGATTTCCAAAATTCTAAACAAACACAAGATCCAGGTCCGGTTCAATACAGTACACAAAATCCGTGATCTGATCCCATCCGTAAAGGTTGTCATTCCGGACTTACAGTACCCTGGTGTTTACAAATTGAGTTGTACCTGCGGTGACTGCTATATCGGAGAGACGAAACGACATATTTCGGACCGAATTCGAGAGCACAAATGAGATTTGAAACACGGCAGAACAAATTCTTCGGCCGTTGCTGATCATTGTTAGAACGCTGTGGGTGATCATGATATTGTTTTCTCCGATACCAAGGTACTCTGCAAGCCGTCTTGATACCACCAAAGATTTGTCCATGAGGCCATACAAATATTCAAACATAGACATAACTTCAACCGAGAAGATAGATTCAAATTGAGCAATTATTGGAAAGATGTGATTAACCATATTAAACCTCAACCGCTACTCTCCCCCGCTCTGCGTCTCCCCTCCCCCATCCGTCGCTCCGTCGTTTAGTATCAGCTTCACCTTCACCTTCCTGGCTGCACCCCCCCCCCCCCCATCCTGCGCCGTCCTCCTTGGCTCCTCTTACCCTATATAACAATGTCTCATCACAAATAACTCTCACTGCAGTTATTTTGCTAATGAAGGAAGCTTGTGTTGCCTCAGGGACTCCGAAAGCATGAAGAACAACCCAGAGCCCAGGCCTACTGATGGTATCATAGGCCTTGACCAGGTCAATAAAGCAGAGATGTAGGTCTTGTTGGAATTCCCTACACCTCTGCTGTAGCAGACGGACAGAAAATATGGCATCTGTGCAAGACCACCCTTTCCTGAAGCCGCATTGGGGCTCCGTAAGCCTCTCCTCAGCGTGCCTAGCAAGGCGATGTTGAATAATCCTTGCCAGGACCTTTCCCGGCATACTGTGGAGTGAGATGCCCCTGTAATTGTTACAGTCTGTGCGGTCCCCCTTCTTAAAGAGGGGGACCACCAGGGCATCCTTCCAATCTTGCGGAACCCGTCCAGTGGCCCAGACTGTTGTCATGATGTCATGTCGGGCAGTCTGCGCACAAACGCCACCCTCCCTCAGCATTTCGCTTTGGAGATCATCTCTGCCCAGTGCCTTTCCTGGTCTCAGACTCTGTATCGCCATCAGTACTTCCTCATCAGATGGCACCTCAGCCAGCCACTCACAGAGGGTGACTTCCTCCTCCAATATTTGAGGCACCGCAGCCTCAGCAGGGTCATCCCAACTTTGTCCCATGTTTTCCAGGCGGACGGATTTCCCCTCCCCCACGACCTCACAGAAATGCTCAGCAAATCTGGAAACCTGTTCCTGGGGGTCGGAAATTGGATCACCGTTCTTTCCCCTAATGATGGTAATAGGTGTGGCGCTGCAGGTTACTTTTTTGATGGAATTAAAGAGCGATTTGTGAACACGGGCCATTGAGGCAGACTCCATCTCCTCAGCAACCCGCGACCACCACCCATCCTTGCAGCGCCTCACGGCTCTCCGAACCTCCGAGCGAAGGTTGCGGTAAGCCTCCTCATTCTCCGACGTGGGATGCTGTAGCCAATGAGTGGGCCTGCCCCTTTTCTCAGCCAGCTTGAATACCTGTCAGCCAGGGGAAGTCTGGACCGTGGACCCAAAGCAGCCATTGCAGCTGCATGAGCCACAGTCCTAAACCTCGCCCATTTCCCCTCCACATCAGGAGTGGGGGACGTTGTCAACCCCAGCTGAAAGTGATGATGAAATTCTCGCTTGCAACTTTCATCAGCTAGCTGAGACCATGCCACTAAGGGTTTGAATGGGGTCCTGGGTTTACACCCATCACCAGAGTGGAAGAATGGCAGGCACATCTTACAGATGACAAGTCGATGGTCAGTGGGCAGATCAGCTCCACGGTAGGTCCTGGTGTCAAGGACATGGGCCCGCATCCGCTGTTCCGTCACTATGTAGTTCAGCAGATGTTCTTGCTTGGACTCGGCATGCATCCATGATGTAGTGTGGATGCGCCGATGCCGGAACAGCGTGTTGGTAATTACAAGCCCGTGGGCTGCACAAAAATCGAGCAGGCTCCTGCCGTTGTTATTGAGCTGATCTGGCCCATGCCTTCCAATTACTCCAGACCAGGTGCTAGCATCATGACATACTTGGGCATTGAAGTTACCCAAAAAGATGACTATCCCGAGGGGCCACTTTAGCTAACACCTGTGGCAGGTCATAGAAGGCATCTGACTCATCGGCCTTGCCTGCATCCCTCTACAGATGCTCGTCTTCAGTGGGGGCATAAGTAACCACGACCACCACTCCTTGCCTCTGGTTGATGGGAAGGTGAGCCCAAAGTAGCCTGGGGCTTACAGCTTCCCACACCTCCCCGCCACGCTCCCACGTCCCCTTCATTATTTTATTCAGAAGAAGAGCCACACCCTGTTGTTTGGTAGTCTCCTGCCCCGAGGAGAGGACTGTCCACCCCCTCATGGTGGCAGGAGCCAGAGCCGGTCCACCGGACCTCCTGACTACCAGAGATCCAGGCGGTACCGGTCCAGCTCCCGACAGAGGAGTGGCAGCCTCTCCTCCGCAGTGAGCGTTCGAACATTCCACGTGGCCACACGTAGTGGTTTTTTGTTGTTTCTGGAGGAGCCCCGAGGGTGAGGATTCAGTCTCCTGCCTCTGCCAAATGGGGTTTGGCCAGGAGACGTCACAGACGCCTGTCCCCCCGGGGCCTCCGGCACAAGCTTATTTATTACATTTTGTGGTCGTGGTTTAGTGGTAATTAATTGAAGGTGGAGGGGTTACCAGCCCCTCGCACCCATCCAGAGCACCCACCACACACACATAAACAATAAAGACACAGACCACACACACCTCAATGAGGGAGGAGTCGCCCGTAGGTGGAGTGGCGTTCTGAGTTGTTGACTCAAGTTGGCGGCTGAGCTCTGAGAAAACGAAGAGACAGTTGAAGACATCTCAAGTCTTTATACTGAAAACTAATTTCTTTAGAACTGCTTTTTGTGTTTAGTTTGTTGTCCTTCCCCCCACATCTCCGATTAGCACGGTTGGATAAATAGTGTGAAAGAAATTCAACATACACACATATACATACATGTCAAGTTAAATAATGTGGCGATAGCTCTTTCCGAGCACTCTCCGAGCTTACATTTACAAGCAAATTTCTTACATTGACATGCTAATCTCTCACAATACAATGGCCACCCCCACAGCTTCGTTTGTCAAGATATACCTGATCTTACATTTACATGCAAACTTCATCTCTAGCCCCTCCCACACCTATCCCAAACCTTTATAACTACTTACCTTAGCAGCGCTCCCACCATATATTCTCAGTAGCTCTCCCGCGATATTTCTCACCTGATGAAGATTGCTTGCGTTGCGATCGAAACGTCGTGATATTATTATTTTTATTATATTTTATTATTTGATTTATCTACGTGGCTTTACCGAAAGACCCAAAGAATACAAGTTAATTTTGTTTAACCAGGTGAGAACTCAAGAAACCAGGAGGGAATCTCGTTTGCAACAGTTAGCTGGGTCACCAACATGACAAAATCAAAACAAATACAAGTTTAGGAAAGAATCAAACAGAAATCAGAGCAAAAATAACCAAAAATAGAATACACAAAATCAACCTTAATATCATTGCGGAGAATACAAGGAAAAAACATAAGCAAATACACCTCCATGTAAAATACATTTATTTTACACTTCCCATCAGCCACACGGCATAATTTACACAGCATATTTTGACATTCAGTGTCTCATAATAATATTCATAAAGTAATACTCAAAAGTCTTCATTCAATCTCATACATGGAGAACGACTCAGAGGCACGAGGAACCACAGGGATGCAGGAAAGGAAGCCACGCACTGGGCTGGTGCCAATAATAGCCCAGGCTCTGCAGTCCTTTATATATTAAGTTATCGGCCATGTGGAAGGAAACCGAAGCACCCGGCGAAATCCACGCGTACAAGGGAAAATCGACTATCCCTGACATACAGACATGAGCCAAGAATGTCTGTGTGTAAAGCGCGTGACGTCACTCCATGTCGACCAGCCCCCCTCATTAATAATCATGAACAGGTGGGGTCCTCCACATGGACCCCCCCCCTCATTAATACTCATGAATGGGTGACGTCACTCCGCATGAAAAAGGTGGAGCGGAAACGAACATTTTTTACGCAAATTAGTTTTCATTTTGACCTTTCTTTCTGGAAAGTAAAGCTAATAAAGAAATCAACGGAGCAGCTAATATAACGAGCAAAAAAAGGCTGTGTGTGTCCCGCTTGTGACGTCACTCCACATGCACCCCCCCCTCATTATTATTAATGTGCCTAGATTTTTGACTAACGCAGACGAAGGTCGAGCGGCTATGATAATATTTTTACGCAAATTCGCTTTCGATTTTACATATCTTTAGAGAAAGTGAAGGCAATAAATAATTATACGCCGCATCACAGTGCATTTGGTGCCTTTATTTATTTCTTCGGCACGTCCAACAAAAGGTAAGTGTACTTTACGCTTCAAAATTATGCTACAACAATATCGTATACCGAGGAATCTTCCAAAGTCCTTAATTTCATTTAATAAATTAAGAAAAAATATTTACGTGCTACATTTCCTAATAAAATGAACAATCACACAATAAACCGTTAATTTACATCTTTAATATGACAGCTTCCATCCTAGGACGGGCTAACAAGCTCGTACAGACAGAAGAGGCGAAATCCGCATATTTGCTGTGACCGCATTCTCCTGGCTAGCTCGGGTTCGGCACCTCCTTGACGCCCACAGGAAAGGAGTTCCACAACATTTGTAAAATCTACCAACCCTCACTGCCTCCACCGTGCTGGGTTAGAGGCAACGTGCATAGCCGCCGCCACCACCCCCTGCTTCATCAGCAGAGGCAGGCTATTTTAAGCTAATGCTGGTGAACTGCTCTGTTTCTCGGAATATATATTCCAGATTGCTTCGTTCCTTTACCCATACGCACACTTTGTATACTGCAGACCTTTTCCGAACGACATAATGGCGTGCAGAGAGGCGTTCCAAAATGGATGGTTTCTGCACCTCGCCATGCAATCAGCACTCCCACAGAGAGCAGGGAGAGTGAAAAGGAGAGTGTGTAGAAGGAGAGAAGCAGAGATAGTGTGGACAGAGAGTGCGGAGAGATGTACGAACCATCGCATCGCGCGCGCGTTTTCTGCAACAGAATCATCTGCTTCTTTGTGAACTTGACGAGGTCTTCCTTTGAGAGGGAGTCAAGCTGTAAGTCACACACACACACACCGCGTAGTGTTTAAGAGTATGCATGTAAATGTGCCAAGTGAGATATTGAAGCCAAGAAGAAATGGGCGTACATAGCCAAAGGTGCTAATCGGAGGTTCGGGGAAGGACAACAAGGTTCAGGCAGACGAGTGAATACCATAATAATACTCTTTGGTTCTTTCGGTAAAGTCACGTTGGTAGAAAAATAAAATAAAACAAAAAATAATATATAGTCTTGGTTCTTTCGGTAAAGTCACGTAGAAGGGAAATAATAAAATAATAATAATAAAAATTCTTATTATTTCCCTTCTACGTGACTTTACCAAAAGAACCAAGAATATGAATCCCTGCAGTCACGAAAGCTTTAAAGAAATAAAAAATAATATATCACGACGTTTCGATCGCAACACAAGCGGTCGTCCTCAGGCGGAAAAAATAATCCAGCAGTGGAACTGCTGAACCAGCGAGAGAGCTGTTACGGCAAGAGGTTATTAACGCGGCGATGGGAAAGCAAGCGGGGTCTGAGCTGGAAAGGAATTCCATCCCCGGACGTAAGCACGTCAGTTGTGTTAATGGGGGAGATCAGGGAGAGAGAGATTAGGGAGAGAGATAAGCATGAAATAAGCTTCCGTCGCGCATAAGAGCATCGTCCCATATATGCGCACAACAGCAGTGTTAATGGGAGATTAGCACTATGTTGATAGGAGAGATTAGGCAGGGAGATTAGGGGGATTAGCAAGTTAATGTCATGTTTATGTGTAACACAAGCTGCTGCGCTGCCAACTGCGCCATGAGTCAAGCGTGTCCCCGCAAGAGAACCACCGCACGGTGGTCGCGCCAGTGAGACACACAGCCCATCACACAGCCAGAACCATTGATACATTGAGGCTAAGGAGCAGAGGTTAATGCAGAGGCACCTAACAGGGCAATGCAACTCAGAGAGTCGGAGATAACAGCCATCGCCACGTAAATAACCTCTTGTAGTAACAGCTCTCTCGCTAGTTCAGCAGTTCCACTGCTGGATTCTTTTTTCCGCCTGAGGACGACCGCTTGTGTTGCGATCGAAACGTCGTGATATTTTTTATTTTTTTTTATTTTATTTTTCTGCTGACGCAGATGCTCATTCCATTGCGTTATCGGAAGCCCTTGCCTGGGGTTGAGGGGGCGGCGGGGGTGTTGTTGTCGCCGTCCAACGCAGTTACGGCTGGCCTGGCGCTGGTCGCGGCACGGACGATTGTTCGGCCGGGTCAGCCTCCGTTTTTGAAAGTGTTAAATGGAGGCGCGGACAATGTTGTCGTGCCGGCCGGAACGGTTCTGGCCCATGCCACGACCGCCTTCACGACCCATGATGATCCGGCTCACCGGGGCCTCGTAGGGGGGGTTCGGCCTCGACGTCGCAGGACAATCGATGGATCGCCGGGTTGTCAGGAAAACGCGTCTTTGACTACGGACCAGCGGTCCGCGCTTCGCGCGCTGTTGGAGAAATATTCTGACGTCTTTAGCAAAGACGATTTCGATCTGGGATGCACCTCGTTGCTCTCCCACCACATTGATACCGGAGATGCTACTCCCATTCGGATGAATCCTCATCGGTTGAGCCCGGCGGAGAGGGATCATGTACGCGGCGCAGTGGATGACATGCTAGCCGCCGACATTATCTCTCCGTCCAACAGCCCATAGGGCACTCCGGTGGTCCTGGTGAGGAAAAAAGATGGTAATCTGCAGTTTTGTGTGGATTTTCGGAGGTTAAACAAGGTGTCGGTTGCGGACGCTTACCCCCTGCCGCGTATGGATGATTCCCTCGATGCCTTGTCTGGGGCGAATTTTTTTTCGACTCTTGACCTCTCTTCGGGGTTCTGGCAGCTCCCCCTGGACGAGTCATCAAGGGAAAAGACGGCTTTCCGTACGCCGCAGGGCCTGTTTCAGTTTAATTGTCTTCCCATGGGGTTGAACGTCGCCCCTGCTACGTTCCAGAGGTTGATGAAACTCGTGTTGACCGGTCTGCAGTGGGACATGTATCTGATACATTTGGATGATGTTATTGTGTTCAGCCGTACGTTTGAGGAGCATCTTTAGAGATTGGATGCTGTTTTTGCTAGGGTGTGTTCCGCCAAATTGAAATTTAAGTCCAAGAAGTGTCACCTTTTGCAACGATCCGTGCGCTATTTGGGCCACATTGTCAGCTCTGACGGTGTGGCCACGGACCCGGAGAAAATGGCGTGCGTTCGGGACTGGCCGATTCTGGCCACGGTGGGTGACGTGCGTCGATTTGTCGGGTTCGCTTCCTATTATCGCAGGTTCGTTCCAAATTTTGCTACGATCGCTAGGCCGTTGCACCTCCTTACGGCAAAGAACCGGAGGTTCAGCTGGGGGCCGGCGGAGGAGGCGGCGTTTCACGGCCTACGCGATCGCTTGGCTTCAGCGCCAACGCTGGACTACCCTGATTTCACTCTGCCTTTTATTCTGGATACCGACGCTAGTGACATGGGGATTGGGGCCGTCCTATCGCAGTTTAAGGGTGGCGTCGAGTGCGTTGTGGCTTACGGGAGCCACGTTTTATCTCCGGCGGAGACCCGCTACTGCGTTATCCGACGGGAACTGTTGGCTATTGTGCATTTTGTCTGTCAATACCGCCCGTATTTGTATGGCCGTAAATTCATTGTGCGCACGGACCATGCGGTTTTGCAATATTCCCTGAAAGTTGACCAACCGTCTGGCCAATTGGCGCGATGGTTGGAAACTTTGCAGGAATTTTCGTTTGAGATTCAATACCGTAAGCGGTCGCGTCACGCAAATGCAGACGCGCTCTCCCGATTGCCGCAGGGATCCACCTGCGCCTGTGCCTCTGGCACAAATAGGTGCACGCGGGTTCCACAGCCCCCGCGTCCTGTCATGTCCGCTGTGGAGATGCCCGCGGCTTCCACGTGTCCGGAACCGGCCGATGGGGTTTTAATTTGCCACGTTCCGTGTGGGTTCGAGAGCAATTGCTCGATGATTCGCTGGGGGCCTTGCGGAGTCGGGCTGCGAAGGAGAGGGGATTATCCGTCGTCCGATGGGACGTCGGGAGCGGCTCTCCGTGACGGCTTGTTGATGTGGAGGGAAGGTTTGCACGATCGCTGGCGCCTTGTTGTGCCGTCGTCATTGCGATATGAGTTGATTCGGATTCTGCACGCTGACGTCGGCATATTCGGGCGTGCTCTGACTGTGCCCGGCGGAAGCCGCCTAAGCAACCGTATGTTCCCCCAGTGCAGTCGATACAAGTGTCGCGGGTTAACGAGTTTGTGGCGTTGGATATTCTGGGGCCCTTTCCCCCGTCCGCGCGGGGGAACAAATTTTTGCTGGTCGGGGTTGAATATCTTTCCCGCTGGCCGATGGCCTGGCCTTTGCCCGACCAGTCGGCGGCGTCTATCACGGATGCATTTCTGTTTGGGTATGTGATGGACAAGGGGGCGCCGGAAAGGTTGCTTACAGACCAAGGGCGGAATTTTTCTTCCAACCTATTGCGGGATCTGTGCGACACACTGGGGACTAAGAAAGTTCGGACGTCTCCCTACCATCCACAAACTGATGGGATGGTTGAACGGTTGAACCAGACCTTGTCGGCCATGCTCTGTCATACGGTTAGCGAGAAGCAGGCCAATTGGGATTTGCATATCCCTGGAGTGCTCTCCGCTTACCGGATGGCGCCACATGTGTCGACGGGGTACTCACCTTTCTTTTTGATGTACGGCCGCGAGAATGTGCCACCTGTGGAGGTGCAACTTGGCACGCAGGCGAGGGGTCCTTTTAAGCCCCTCCCCGAGTATATTCGTGACGCCGCTCGGCGCGTGGCGGAGGCGCGAAAGGCGGCCCGATTGCTACGGCCAAAACCCAGGCCCGGAACGAACGTTGCGCCCGGTGCTCTCATCGTGGGTCCCCCTGGCGAGTGGGAGGCATGGCCTGGCTCCACTGCTCACAGGTACCGGTGGGGACCTCCCCTAAGTTGCACAAACCCTGGCAGGGGCCGGTTGTGCTCATTGATGTCCCTAGCCCGCAGTCCGCGCGCGTTCGAATCGGATCGCGACGTTGATACGTTCACACGTCCCAATTGAAACCCTACGTAGCCCCACGTGTGGATGCGTCAAATCTCCTAACGTTGCCTTGCCAGTGTCTGTCGCGTCCGACGCGTCACTGACTTTGCCTGTTCAACCTGCAAGCGCGCCTGTCGTGCCTCCTGTAGACGGTCCGGCTGTGATCCTGCCGGACATATGGATTCCTGCACTGGGTGGGCTTACCACGGCGACGGGGATGCTTGGCCCCGCTGCCCCTCCAACCCTGCCGTGGTTGCAGTTGCAGGGGGCCCCAAATACGGACCTCTCTGAGGAATGGGGTGCTGGGACGGACAGGCCTCCACCAGCGACGGATGATGCCGGTTCCGCCGCTCTTAAAACCCTGTCGGGACTGCGACCTTTGAGGGCGCCGCCTCTCGTGAAGGACAGGCCGATGACCCGCACTCGTTCCAAATCCCTTCCCTTTCGTTGTGTTGTCGTTGTACTCTCCGTTGTGTCTGGTGATTCCTGATTGTGATGCTGTCGCTCGCATTATTTTATCCTATTGCAGCCGGGATGGCTGGCTTTTTCATCAGGGGGGGGGGGGTCATGTAATGTGAGCGTAAATGGGGTTGTTGCTGGGCTCTGGCCCAATCACACGGCCCGGGGTATTGGGGGGCGGAGCCTGGTCTGCGGGGCGTGTGGGAGGGGCCACCGTTCACCTCGGCTCCAATGGGAGGCGAGGTGAATGGGGTCGGAGCCAGCAAGGCAGAATGAGAAGGCCGGATCTGACGATCCGGAAGGGGAGATGTCAGGGTCACGTGGGGGGGAGAGGATATAAGTGGGAGCCCAGAAGAGATCGGGGTCAGTTGGGGAAGTTAAGAGGCTGAGCCACGTTGGGTGGTGAGAGGAGATCCGCGCCATCGGCCACGTGGCCGAAGGACCTCGGCACGCCGTCGGCCAGCGGTGTGCGGAGTGCGGGAGTGGAGGAGCTAACGTAGGAGCGTGCGCGGCACGCGAGAGGAGACGCTGGTCCCTTATCAGGACCAGCGAGGTGTGAGGAAGAGTGGAGGAGCTGACGAGGGAGCGCGTGCGGGGCGCGCGCGAGACGACGCTGGTCTGCAGAGGAGACCAGCGGGGTGCGGAGAAAGAACCTAAATAAAAGACCAACGGAGACCAGCAGTGCCTGACGGAGTCTTTTATTACACATGCAATAAGAAACTTACATCTCATATCTCATCAACACATCTTTTTTACTAAAAACTATAAGTTATTTTTATTTTACCAGGTAAGGCCCACTGAGCTATACAGCTTTTTTTCAGAAGCAGCATGGCCACAACGAAGTGGCTTATCACATGGAAATTGAAAGCATCCACAGACTATGAATGCATATTGATTCTAAATGTGGAGGGATAAACCGGAGGACCCAGAGAACATCTACACCCCCACGTAAATAGACACGCAGACTTCACATATGTGTCGGGGTCAGGATTGAACCCACGACCTCCTGCATACCAGATGTGGGAGTTAACATCTTGCCACCATGGCGCCCATTTGATAGGGCATCCACACCGGTAGCTGCCACTGTGGGGCACGAGGTGACTCCACAAGAGGGAATTTAGTCGACCATCAGGAATCAAAATATCCACGTTCCAATCATTTATGTAACTCACCGATTACCAGAGAATCGTGTTCACCCCCGAAATCCACCAAAAAAATCATGGTTTTCTGATTTCTTCCAGTACTGTCAGAATTTGTAATGTTATTACAAATTTTCGTAATGTTATTACAAATTCTTATTACAAATTCTTAACATATTTTTAAAGGAGTTACAGGCTTCTTTGTAATATGAGCCAGACTGTTGATATATTTTAGTGCTGGGTGTATGCTAAGGATGCGTGGTAGCCCATCTGATTTCTATGCATTGCGGTTTACACTCCGGGATGCATTTAGAATCCACCGCATTTCACCTTTCTCTCTCCATGTCCAAGATCTTCCCGATATCTTTACACTTCTCTCCACAGCTCTGCGACTCTCTACACCAAAGCAATTCTCGCTATTGCTCAGAAATTATCTTCCTATAGCTCCACGATTCTTCTGCAGCCCCTGTAAACCCTCCCTTCCCATGCAATATGCTTGCCATTTTGGCCGGGTTGCCATTGACATGGCTCAATGGGCCTAATCCAAAATAATAAACGACTGATTTGAGGAGTTGCTCGAGTCCTGTGGTGAGGACCTGCCAAATGAGGATCTCAAAAGATTATCTCAGAAGTAGCACTGTGACATCCACATCTATAGGCTGTTCCCTATGACACGGGGGTTTCACTCCTCTGCAAGAGTTCTGAATGGATGCATCACCTCATGATGTAATGCCAATAGCACAATCGGGATAACATTGCGTGGAGGGGGGGGGGGAGTGCAAAGTAAAAATGTTTAATAAATAGATTAAAATTGTATACCGTTGTAAATGCTGATCGATAATTAAATATATGTACCTCAAAAACTCCAAATACATGAACAATGAAAGGCAGAGGAGCGTTTCGTACCTTTGAGCGGCCTTCTGTCCTTGGGATGCTGACAGCCCCAGCCTCCTGCTGAGGGTCCTGGGCGAGGGTAGGTGCACGGAGAGAGACAGACAGAGAGACAAAGAGACAGAAAGACAGAGGAGGTAGTTTTGGGGTAAGAACATCAAAATTAGGTACTCGCTATACAGGAATCCTCCAATATAAGTTGCCACATTATGCGTCATTTCGCATATACATTTGCCGATTAATTATGGAAGAAATTTGCTCATAAGTGTAATGTTTCGCAAAATGCGTTCTATAAAAATTGCACGACACAATATTTGTGCAATTTTTTAATGAGGAACGCATGTGGTAAAAACGCACTATTTTGCTTTGTAATACCCTACTGTATGTGCATAGAACGTACCAGAGAAAAATCCCTCCGCGATGTGAAAGGGAGCAGTGGTGCTGTGGTGAGCGCACTGCACTATTAATCCTGACTCCCCAAGTTCGATTCTCGGCCATGGCTAACATAGTGGCGAGTGTTAACTGAACCATTTCTTGCCCTACTCTAGATCGAACAATCATTAAATGAGAATCGGTTTCAAAATTAACGCTAGTAAGACAAAGGTGGCCGGACTTGGTTCTGGCCACACCACGCTTGGCGGCCTTGACAAAGTAATCGCGAAGCATACTTGTCCCAACAATATGATAAGGCTATTGTTATATAAGTAGACAAACCGGTGTGTTAAAAGATTGCAGTGTTTCTAAGTGAGGGTCTATGTGTGTGTGTCTGTGTCTGCCACAGACACACCTCACATACACCCTCAGAAAAGAGCTGTAGTATAGCGATTAGCTTGCTGCAATATGAACCCAGCGACCCAATTTCAATTCCTGCTCATGGCCAACACTAGTGACGAATATTTGAACCGGTCCTGGGCCTCCCCTAGGTCGACTCAGCCTCAAATGAGTAACTGGTGCGATGTCTGTTAAGGCTATATGGGGGTCTTCGTCTGCTACGTGGAGGCATATTCCTCCACATGGCAGAGGGAAGCTGGACTCGACAAGCAATTAAATGAGTATCTGATGCAGCTGGAACAACGAGCTGAAGAAGAGGCCAATGAAACGATACCAGTGACCACCACCACCACGAATACAGGCAGACCTCGCTTAGCGCGACACTGTGGAACACCGATTGTTATCGTGCTCTTTGTCCGGGAGAAAAAAAAATATATAAGAAAATCTAAAGAGAGCTTATGAGAACATGCAACGCTGACCGAGAAAACATAGCCGCCCCCATCATTTGCTCAGCCAATAAGAGCGACGCACGACCCTGAGCCAACCAAACCAAATGTTATTACATTAATAATGATGACATTCATAATGCGCCAGATGTTGCACACAAATCAACAACTCAGAGGCGCGGAGCTAAGCTCAGGGCTGCTCGAAATCCTGACCCAGACAGATAGAGAGACCTTTAGATATTTTTTGAAAGAGTGCATTTGATGTTGCGGATGTTAAACGGGATTAGAGAGTTCCACACCGAGGGGGCGACAGCAAAGAACCGACTTGAGGCTGCAGGAGTATAGTGTAGTGTATAGTGTAGTGTATACTATATAGTAGTGCATAGTAGTATATAGTAGTGTATAGTGTAGTGTATAATAGTGTAGTATGTCGTAGTGTGTAGTGGAGTGTATAGTGACATGGAGCTGTAACAGTTAGAGACCCCCACGGTGTCCGAAGCAGGTTTTGAGTTATGCTGCTGCTGCGGAGGGTTCTACAATGAGCTTCAGTGCAAGGCGAGAGTAGTGTGGCGAGGCATGGTGGGGAACCGGTGGTGAAGGCACGATGACAAAGGCAGGCGATTTTATTTGTTTAGCCCGGTGAGAACTCACGAGACCAGGATAGAGTCTCAGGCTCTACCTAAAAGAAACCTCACCACAGAAATTCAGACTGTGGGCATCGCTAAGGCCATCATGGACAGGTCCTGGAGCTCTGTGAGAGTGACCCCGGATTGGCAGTACAGCAGCAGCTCCTCCAACCTCGTCTCCCACAACTGCCTTGTAAGGATTAGTAGAGTAGAATTCACTCATGGGTACAGTCCATACTACTTACTGATGTTATTACGGATCAGTGGACATTACCTAGTAAGCTAAAAAAATGGTTTAGTTTTAATTGTATATACTTTAAAGTAATTCGTTTACCTTGGCTATAATTTGCACCCCTATCGTGTTTCTATATTGTTTGTTGTAATGTTCTGATCCGCCCTTACTGGACATCTGTGAAAAAGAGTGTGATAGCTCATCGGATTCCTCCAGTCTAAATAAAGATTCTGATTCTTTTAAATGTTTTAATGTTTACCATCTGCATTGTCAGCGCTATTACCGATACCCCCAATGAAACCTTCATATATTGCTCATAAGAAATAACGCTGTGGGGGACGCATCCCTAAGTATACAATTGTAGTATTCTTGAATGAGACAGAGACTTCGTAGAGGCCACACGCTTTTTATTCCAATAACACTAGTCCTCCGGACTCACTGGGGGAACAACCCAACCACACAACCTAGGGAGGTACAGCCTCCGGCTCTATTCTCATTACTCCCCTTCCCTAGCCTACAGCTACTCAATTACTCTCCTTCCCGAGCCTACAGCTACTCAGCCCACTCAGTCCCAGCGGGGCGGCATCCTCGAGGCTTGGGGTCCAGGATCTCCGGCCGCACCTCCTTCAGCTTCTGGTGAGATGGACCCCCTCCGCTCTCCAGGAGCCGTCTTATATATCCCCTCTCTCTGAGGGGCGGGGGTGTCTCGAGGCCCTGGCTCTCGCCAGCCCCCTCCCCTCAGAGCGGTTCCAACCCCCTCTCGTCCCTGCCGGTCCGGACCGGTCCAGACCGGTACGTACCTCTCCCCTAGCTTGTGTGACCTGTGTGACCTGTGTCAACCTTGGTGTCAACCTTGACCACCACATCACCCCCCCCTATACAGCACGCAGCCGTCCCGGCTGCATCACTATCCACATCCCAACCCTAACTCGCGAACCAGGAATTCTGAACACGACAAGAACAATGCGTGAGCCTCAACACAACAATAACAACAACAGAACAACAAACACAACTATCCCCAATAATTTACCCCAACCCCCCTGTACACAAGAACACTGCGGACACACCACACCAACGAACAAGGTGACTCGAACACCCAGGCCCCGCGAGGAGGCAGTATATCTGCGACAGGTCTCAGGAGAACCTGAGACCCTTCGAACGAGTCCGTGTGGCGGGTCCATCGTCAGAGGCCAGCGTTCCTTGCGGAGGGTCAGGAGGGGCCAGATGACGGGCGTCCGGCACGTCCCGAGGCTCCGGGGACAAAGCCCGCGAGCCGTCTTCCTGCTGGACAGGCGGCTGGCTCGCTTCCCGCTCCTCTGGTGAGGCCACCCTAGGTGGACTCACACCTGCAGCATCCGAAAGAGTGGCAGGGGGTTTCAGAACAACAAGGGGATCACGAGGCCCCTCCTTCAACCTGCCGGACACATCACGCGGCCGTCCCCTGCGAGATGAAGGTGTGTGAGTGCGTGGTGCGACATAGGGCTTCAGGCGCGAGGGGTGCACGTACCAAGAACGCCTTCCGCACGCGACCCTAACACACTGGTCCCGAACGACCCGATCAATGTCGACCGGCCCCCGCCAGGGCCGCAGCAATTTCGATGACGTTGACAGCGGCACCTCCGGGCAGTGCAGCCACGCCTTATCCCCTACCGCCCATTTATACACCGTAACCCGGCGATCATACATACGCTCATTGGCCCGTTGCCTTGCCCTGGAATTTTCCTGCGCGGCCACCCTCGCCTCGACCAACTTCCGAATATTGAACTGAGCGTGTTCGGACAGTTTCGAGCGAGACGCCGCCGTCTGGACCCGCAATTGCACCTCCATGGGGGGGTCGACATCCCTGCCGTACATTATGTAGAAGGGCGAATAGCCCGTGGCCGCGTGAGGCGCCAACCTATATGCGGCCAGAACTCCGGGAATCCTCAGGTCCCAATCCAACTGTGTGTCGTCTACCTGATGACACAACATAGAGGTAATGGTCCAGTGTAGACGTTCGACCATACCATCGGTCTGCGGGTGGTAGGGGGAAGTCCGGACCTTCTGCGTGCACAAAAGGTCACAAACCTCCCGCAGAAGATTGGACGAAAAGTTCTTTCCCTGGTTCGGTTAGCAGGCGTTCCGGGGCGCCCTTATCCAGGACGTAGCCCTGGAGAAACGCCTCCGCAATGGCTGCCGCCGACTGGTTGGGGAGGGGCCAGGCCATAGGCCAACGGGTGAAATATTCAACCCCAACCAGCAGGTACTTATTACCCCGAGCGGTGACAGGGAAGGGACCCAGGATGTCAAGAGCCACCAACTCGTTAACCCGGGACACCTGAATGGACTGAAGGGGTGGGCAAGCCGCCCTAGCCGGGTGTTTCCGCCGCGCACACTGCGTGCAACTATTCCCCCACAGACGTGGGCGTGGGCCACGTTCTTACACAGTCAGTTTTAGCAGGATCGGTGGCTATACCCGTAGAACTGACAACGTGGACGAGGTACCGCACCGATTCACGCAACAGGAAACATTTCTGAGGCTTAAATTTAAGGTTAGCCGATCGCACTCTGAGAAATACAGCCGGCAGTATGTCCAGATGTTCCTCAAACGTACGTCGTCCAGATATATAAGACAAGAGTCCCACTGCAGGCCAGCGAGGACCAGTTCCATCAATCTCTGGAACGTCGCTGGAGCTGAGTGCAATCCCATGGGCAACCGATTGAACTGATAAAGGCCCTGTGGCGTACGGAACGCGGTCTTAGGTTTGGAAGCCTCATCCAAGGGCAGTTGCCAAAACCCCGACAAAAGGTCCAAGGTTGAAAAATACCGCGCCCCCGCCAAGGCATCGAGCGACTCGTCCATGCGAGGGAGCGGATACGCGTCCGCCAGCGAAACCTTGTTACGCTTCCGAAAATCCACACAAAACCTCAAACTGCCATCATGTTTTTTAACAAGCACAATCGGCGCACCCCATGGGCTGTTGGAGGGAGCCACAAAGTCTGCGGCAAGCATGTCAT